GTCCTGGATGGCAGGAAGCTTGGCCCCAGTGATGTACTGGGCCGTTCGCACTACCCTCTGTAGTGCCTTGCGGTCAGAGGCCGAGCAGTTGCCATACCAGGCGGTGATGCAACCAGTTAGGATGCTCTCGATGGTGCAGCTGAATAACTTTTTGAGGATCTGAGGACCCATGCCAAATATTTTCAGTCTCCTGAGGGGGAATAGGCTTTGTGGTGCCCTCTTCACGACTGTCTTGGTGTGTTTGGACCTTAAAAGTTTGTTGGTGATGTGGACACCAAGGAACTTGATGCTCTCAACCTGCTCCACTGCAGCCCCGTCTTTGAGAATGGGGGAGTGCTCGGTCTTCCTTTTCCTGTAGTCCACAATCATCTCCTTTGTCTTGATCATGTTGAGGGAGAGGTTGTTCTCCTGGCACCACACGACCAGGTCTCTGACCTCCTCCCTATAGGCTCATCGTTGTCTGTGATCACTGTTGTGTCGTCGGCAAACATAATGATGGTGTTGGAGTCGTGCTTGGCCATGCAGTCATGGGTGAACAGGGAGTACAGGAGGGGACTGAGCACGCATCCCTGAGGGGCCCCCGTGTTGAGGATCAGCGTGGCAGATGTGTTGTTACCTACCCTTACCACCTGGGGGCAGCCTGTCAGGAAGTCCAGGATCCAGTTGCAGAGGGAGGTGTTTAGTCTCAGGGTCCTTAGCTTAGTGTTGAGCTTTGAGGGCACTATGGTGTTGAACGCTGAGCTGTGGTCAATGAATAGCATTCTCACGTAGGTGTTCCTTTTGTCCAGGTGGGAAAGGGCAGTGTGGAGTGCAATAGAGATTGCATCATCTGTGGATCTGTTGGGGCAGTATTCAAATTGGAGTGGGTCTTGGGTTCCTGGGATAATGGTGTTGATGTGAGCCATGACCAGCCTTTCAAAGCACTTCATGGCTACAGACGTGAGTGCTACGGGTCGGTAGTCATTTAGGCAGGTTACCTTAGTGTTCTTGGGCACAGGAACTATGGTGGTCTGCTTGAAACATGTTGGCATTACAGACTCAGTCAGGGACAGGTTGAAAATGTTGGTCAGCGCATGCTCGGAGTACACATCCTAGTAATCCGCATGGTCCTGCAGCCTTGTGAATGTTGACCTGTTTAAAGGTCTTACTCACATCGGCTACGGAGAACGTGATCACACAGTCGTCCGGAACAGCTGATGCTCTCATGCATGCTTCAGTGTTGCTTGCCTCGAAGCGAGCGTATAAGTAATTTAGCTCGTCTGGAAGGCTCATATCACTGGGCAGCTCGCTGCTGTGCTTCCCTTTGTAGTCCGTAATAGTTTGCAAGCCCTGCCACAACCAACGAGCGTCAGAGCCTGTGTAGTATGATTCAATCTTAGTCCTGTGTTGACACTTTTCCTGTTTGATGGTTCGTCAGAGGGCATAGCGGGATTTCTTATAAGCGTCCAGTTTAGAGTCCCGCTCCTTGAAAGCGGCAGCTCTACCCTTTAGCTCAGTGCGGATGTTGCCTGTAGTCCATGGCTTCTGGTTGGGGTATGTACGTACGGTCACTGTGGGGACGACGTCATCGATGCACTTATTGATGAAGCCAGTGGCTGATGTGATGTACTCCTCAATGCCATCAGAAGAATCCCGGAACATATTCCAGTCTGTGCTAGCAAAACAGTCCTGTAGCGTTAGCATCTGTGTCATCTGACCACTTCTGTATTGAGCGAGTCACTGGTACTTCCTGCTTTAGTTTTTGCTTGTAAGCAGGAATCAGGAGGATAGAATTATGGTCAGATTTGCCAAATGGAGGGCGAGGGAGAGCTTTGTACGAGTCTCTGTGTGTGGAGTAAAGGTGGTCTAGAGTTTTTTTCCCTCTGGTTGCACATTTAACATGCTGGTAGAAATGAGGTAAAACGGATTTAAGTTTCCCTGCATTAAATTCCCCGGCCACTAGGAGTGCCGCCTCTGACTGAACATTTTCTTGTTTGATTATGGCCATATACAGCTCGTTGTGCGGTCTTAGTTCCGGAGCGACCCACTAGGTGTCATCCTCCGACAACCTTAGGCACCTCCTCACTCACAGTCTGGACTAATAATTTTCCTTTTGGTGTCACCTGTGTCTACCTGTTCACCTGTGTATTTATGCCCTCACTTCCCTGTGTTCCCTTGCTCTGTTTTCTCTGCCAAACAGTACTGATCAGTGTCTGATTGCGAGATATATGTACAGGTACTTGAGAAGTATTCTCCCTGTTTCATTGTTGTTTTCAGTCGTAGTTAGTATTTCGTATGTTTGCTGTCAGCCTGTTTTTGGAGACCAATTTGCTCCTCCTTCATTTTATCGTGACAAGTCCGTTATTTTGTATCCTGGTTTTGGGACCACCAGTAAAGATCCTTGTTTCACCATCTCTGCCTACTGCCTACTGTCTATCCTACACTGCACCTGGGTCACACCTCACACCAACCCTTACATCTTAAAAGTTAATTTGTGGAATTTCCTTCATTCTTAATGCGTTTGAGCAAATCAGTTGTGTTGTGACAAGGTAGGGGGGGTATACAGAACATAGCCCTATTTGGTAAAAGACCAAGTCCATATTATGGCAAGAACAGCTCAAATAAGCAAAGAGAAACAACAGTCCATCATTACTTTAAGACGTGAAGGTCAGTCAATCAGGAAGATTTCAAGAACTTTGAAAATGTCTTTAAGTGCTGTCGCAAAAACCATCAAGCGCTATGATGAAACTGGCTCTCATGAGGACCGGCAAAGGAATGGAAGACCCAGAGTTACCTCTGCTGCAGAGGATAAGTTCATTAGAGGTACCAACCTCAGAAATTGCAGCCCAAATAAATGCTTCACAGAGTTCAAGTAACAGACACATCTCAGCATCAACTGTTCAGAGTGAATTAGGCCTTCATGGTCGAATTGCTGCAAAGAAACCACTACTAATGCACACCAATAAGAAGAAGAGACTTGCTTGGGCCAAGAAACACGAGCAATGGACATTAGACCGGTGAGTCCAAATTGGAGATTTTTGGTTTTAACCGCTGTGTCTTTGTGAGACGCGGTGTGGGTGAACGGATAATCTCCGCATGTGTATTTCCCACCGTAAAGCCTGGAGGAGGAGGTGTTATGGTGTGGGGGTGCTTTGCTGGTGACACTGTCTGTGATTTATTTAGAATTCAAGGCACACTTAACCAGCATGGCTACCACAGCATTCTGCAGCGATACGCCATCCCATCTGTTTTGGGCTTAGTGGGATTATCATTTGTTTTTCAACAGGACAATGACCCAACACACCTCCAGGCTGTGTAAGGGCTATTTGACCAAGAAGGAGAGTGATGGAGTGCTGCATCAGATGACCTGACCTCCACAATCCCCCGACCTCAACCAAATTGAGATGGTTTGGGATGAGTCGGACCACAGAGGGAAGGAAAAGCAGTCAACAAGTGCTCAGCATATGTGGGAACTCCTTCAAGACTGTTGGAAAAGCATTCCAGGTGAAGCTGGTTAAGAGAATGCCAAGAGTCTGCAAAGCTGTCATCAAGGAAAGGGTGGCTATTTCAAGAATCTGAAATATAAAATATATTTTGATTTGTTTAACACTTTTTTGGTTACTACATGATTCCATATGTGCTATTTCATAGTTTCAATGTCTTCACTATTATTCTACAATGTAGAAAATACTTAAAATAAAGAAAAACCCTTGAATGAGTAGGTGTTCTAAAACTTTTGACCAGTAGTGTATTGTTTCCATCTCATATGCTGTTAAATATCTTTACACAATGCAACAATACTTGAAACACACAAAACATGTTTGGCAACTTTCTCTTTTTAACCTGTATTTTCAGTTAAATAAAATAAACGATCATGTTAATCTACAAATCACAACAGTTGACAAAGGGATGTGTACAGAATCACACACACATGCATTCACGAGCACACACACAGAGATACACACCCTTTGCAGAACAGATAGACATGCATCCACACATTATGAATAAATGGTAACATTTATAATTCATGGATTGATGCTTTTGATATATTATGATTAAATGAATTATTGCTGATGAAAGAAGGGTTCCCACTGAGCAGAGTAGATGCAGGGATGACAGGAGCCCGGCAAGCCGGAGAACGGGTAGAGGCCATTACCCTAGTGTTGCGGTATACCGAAACTTCGGTACGTTTTTTTATACTAAAACATGAAAAACGGTTCGGTACTGTCATTTTTGTTACTTTCTGTACTTCTGTCAAATGTGTCTCGCGTCATATACGGATTGAAAGGGTCGAGTATGTCTAGTAATTTGTCTGAATCTTCTCAAGGGGGCAGTAGTAAGCTAGCCAGGCTACTTGCGATTGCACCTGCAACTGACAGCACAACCAACTTTTGAGAGCAAGCGAGAGAGAAAATGTCAGCAGCATGGCTTCTTCTAACGAAAACATTATACCTCCACAACCGCAGCTTGTTGACAAAACTGGCTCCAGAAGCGAACTATGTGAATACTTTGCTTACAGAGCAGATGATGAGGGCCAGCCCACCGAAACAACTAAGCAAAAGGTGTTACAGTGCAGTGCAAGGGAGGTTTAGTCTCAAAACGACATAAAACAAAAACTCTTACACATGACATTTGTATTGTAACGTTATTCTACTAGCAACTGAATTTGAATGATTTTTGACTGACAATGACATGAACATATATATTTAGCATGACATTCATGTGAGCATTATAATATGATTACAACCCAAAGGTAATGTGAAATGTAGATTTCAGTAGATTGTCTTCTGCATGGTTTATCTTACCTATCATATGAATATCCTTTTCTGACTCAAAAAAGATTCCCTCAAGATTACTCTGATGTCCAACATTTTTCAAATCGAAATTTCTTGATATGAAACTTTTAAGTTGCATGTATTTAAAACTATCTACAGTACATTGGTCAGTCCACAATTGCTTTTTAATTCTGTCATGGAAATACATGTATTTCCTATTACCAAGTCATTTACGGTTTATATGCCTTTAGTTTTCCAATGTAGACCAATATATCGGTCAATTCTGAAAAGCTATCCAAGGATTGTTCCATAGGGTTGTGTTTTTAGGGAGTGATATTGGTTATTGTAGAATACGTTTCATTTTCTTCCATATTGTTAGTGTTCTTAACTATGAGGTTGTTCATGTTCTTAACATGACATCTAAATCTATCAATGTATAAGGGTCAATGTCATACAACTGTGATTGTTTCATCTTTTATCCCACAACTTCAATGACATTACAGCCTGCTGGGCTTGGAGCCAAATATCAACTGTTCTCTGTCTGAAAACAGACTGACCAATACCCAGGTTAACAGTGGTGACAAACATGTAGAGAGAGACGAATGTGTGTAAAGTATTAGGTGAAAGTTTCCAGCTGAAGAAATCAGCCAAGATCCACAGAGCTCAAAGTAAAGTATTCCCTGTAGGATCCCAGTGATGGTGTCCCTCATCTGACTGTGCAAACAGAGAGAGGAAAAGGAGCTGCACCTCTCTTTCATGCTCTTCATGTGTCTACGCAGGAAGCACCCTGTTGCCCACCTCGACCCCACCATCAAGCAGAGACAAGTAAAGACTAAAATCATTTTCACATAAAGACACCTTTGTGTAATAAATTCAATTTGAGCCAGAAGTAGTGTCATTCGTTGAGGTACAAGTGCTGTTAGTGCTGTTATTTCCAGAGACATTGATGAGAAAAACAACTGAACGATAAACCGCAGCATCAAACAAAAATAACGGGCTGTCAACAAACAGGCCCTAGTAGATGATGATTTTGATGTTCCTCTTCACCCAGATGAAGAGAGCTCGTTGGGCTGGGACGATCTGGGTGTAGTAGAAAAAAATCTGCCAAACAGAGGTTGACATGCGGGTGGATAAAGTGTACCCCACTATCAGAGAAGCAGCAAAGCAGAGCTCCGGATGTTCAGTGAAGATTAATCGCCACAAACATTTCACTGCAATAAGTGAAGCTACTCTGAAAATATAGTTTACCAAGCTACAAATGACTTCACACTGGAAGAAGTTATAATACACTAAAGCTACACTTAAGAAAAATATAGTTTACTTAACTAAAGTTACTTTGAAAAAGTATTTCACTACATCCAAACTACTTCATGAAAAATTTCTCATATCTAAATCTGAAATGTCATAGAATACAAATTGCAAGAACAGATCACTCTGTACTCAGATGTTAACAGAATGTGTAATTTATCCGATTAAACACAAAAATGATGTTTCAAGTTTTAAAATTAGGCAGGTCTAAAAGGAAATTCTTGCTTACTTCACCCATATTTTCCTTTTGCAAAAAAAGTAGCGGTGTAGTTCCAGCAGTTAGCTACACCGCTACATGGCAAAAAAAAGTTATTAACTACAGAAAACACTACCAAGATTGGAATTTTGTTCAACTACTACCAAGCTACTGCAATATGTAGTTTAATTACTAACATGTAGTTCATTATTTCCCAACACTGCCAGGTAAACAGTGGTGCAGCAAACCAAGAATCCCAGGAGTATCTTTACAGGTTGTTTCAGTCTCTCTCTGCCTCGCGGTGGACAGAACAGAACAGACAAAAAGCAAAAAACAAGTTGGCCAATATGTTGAGAATAGCGAGAGGCCTGTTGACTATGGCAAAGGTCAAGACATCCATCTTGATATAGGTACGCTGCATTTCTGACAAGCCAGAGGAATATGTTCGCAGTGATATCTGCTGAACACCTCCCCAGTGCCAGGGATTTCAGGGGTGTCTCACTCAGGCAACAAAAGAACAAAGCAAATGTAGCATAACCTATTTACATCGTAGATACAGAAAGTAATGAGCTGTAACAAACTAAAAAGGAAACAATGTAAATGTAGAACATTACATGAGCTTCATAAGGCATTATTCAAATTAGCTTACAGTGCCTTCAGAAAGTATTAATACCCCTTGACTTATTCTACATTTTGTTCTTACAGCCTGAAATCAAAATGGATTAAAATGATTTTTTTCTCACCCATCTACACACAATACCCCATAAAGACAAAGTGAAAACATGTTTTTAGATATTTTAGCAAATGTGTTGAAAATTAAATACAGAAATATCTTGTTTACATAAGTATTCACACCCCTGAGTCAATACTTTGTAGAAGCACCTTTGGTAGTGATTACAGCTGTGAGTCTTTCTGGGTAAATCTAAGTGCTTTCCACGCCTGGATTATGCAACATTTGCCCATTATTGTTTTCAAAATTCTTCAAGCTCTGTCAAATTGGTTGTTGATCATTGCTAGACAACCATTTTCAGGTCTTGACATAGATTTTCAAGTAGATTTAAGTTCAAAACTGTAACTTGGCCCACATTCAACTTCTTCTTGGTAAGCAACTCCAGTATAGATTTTGCCTTGTGTTCTAGGTTATTGTCCTGCTGAAAGGTGAATTTATCTCCCAGTGTCTGGTGGAAAGTAGACTGAACCAGGTTTTCCTATAGGATTTTGCCTGTGCTAAGCTCCATGCCGTTTCTTTTTTATCCTGAAAAACTCCCCAGTCCTTAACGATTACATTCATACCCATAACATGATGCAGCCACCACTATGCTTGAAAATATGGAGAGTGGTACTCAGTAATGTGTTGTATTGGATTTTCCCCAAACATAACACTTTGTATTCATATTTTACAGATAATTGTATGTGTGGGGTACAGAGATGAGGTAGTCATTCAAAAATCATGTTAAATACTATTATTGCACACAGAGTGAGTCCATGCAACTTATTATGGGACTTGTTAAGGAACATTTTACTCCTGAACTTATTTAGGCTTGCATAACAAAGGGGTTGAATACTTATTGACTCAAGACATTTCAGCTTTTCATATATAATCATATATAATTTGTAAACATAAAAATATAATTCAACATAATTCCACTTTGACATTATGGGGTATTGTGTCCAGTGACAAAATATCTCATTTTGATCTATTTTAAATTCAGACTTTAACACAACAAAATGTGGAAAAAGTCAAGAGGTGTGAATACTTTCTGAAGGCACTGTATATGCCGTCATTGGTGGCAGGGGGAGAGAGGATTCAACTTTTTATTGGGGCCTGCTGGACCAGAACAACAATTCTGAAGGGATCTTGTGCAACTCACAGATTTACGGTTTTCTGAGGTATATCTATTAGGGAGGCATGGTATATCGGCCTTCATATCAGTATCAGACGATAATGGCTAGAAAAACATAATATCAGTATTGAATCACCTGGAATGAGTTATCCATCTTTATAATCTTTATCTGCAAAACTGACGAATGCCTAACAAAAGGAGTTTAATGATGGAAAAACACAAATTAGGTGCAGTGTCGCACATGCCTGGGATATGGAAAACACCTTAAATGTACCATAACCTGGTTTGCATCTTGGATACAGATGGAAAACACATGGCCAACTCAACAAGTAAAACAAAAAAATAAATAGATAAATGACATATTATATTACTCATTTGTAAAACAAAAAACAGGTTATCTATTATATTATATCTACATTATGGGCCAGTTTCACAGACCCAGATTAAATAAAGTTAACTAATTATCCCTTTAATGTTAATCTCTCTTGGACAGATGTACAAAATAACTAGCTGACACCATTTCATGTGATTTTAGTTCTGGGTTTCTGAGATTACTTTAATGTCGTAAAACTGTATTTTATATTTATTGTTGTAGTCTCAGTACATCTCGGACACCCAGAACTAAAATGTTGCATAATTGCATCAGATTGTCAATTAAGTTATGGGTAGAAAATGTATTAACTAGACTAGTGAAGTCTCCACCCCTCTAAACTGAAACTCTCAGCCAGTTTCAGGCAAGTTTACTTGCCAAATATCCCCTTCCCTTTCCAAATTCGAAAGATGCGAGCACCTGCAAAATCATGATTTGTCCAAATGACCAGTGATGAAAAATCTGCATACTGGAACAAAGTTCCTTGTTAGTCATTCCTTGTATGTCGACAGATGCTACTACCATTTATGTTACGTGCATCTGTCCAAGAGAGATTACAATACCACAGTGACAGTATCATCCACACAACTTCAATGACCCTACAGCCTGTTGGGCTTTGAGCCAAATATCAGCTGCTGTCTGAAAACAGACTGACCAATACCCAGGTTTACAGTGGTGAAAGATCAATGAAGATCCACAGAGCACAAACGATTTTTTTCTCACCCATCTACACACAATACCCCATAAAGACAAAGTGAAAACATGTTTTTAGATATTTTAGCAAATGTGTTGAAAATTAAATACAGAAATATCTTGTTTACATAAGTATTCACACCCCTGAGTCAATACTTTGTAGAAGCACCTTTGGTAGTGATTACAGCTGTGAGTCTTTCTGGGTAAATCTAAGTGCTTTCCACGCCTGGATTATGCAACATTTGCCCATTATTGTTTTCAAAATTCTTCAAGCTCTGTCAAATTGGTTGTTGATCATTGCTAGACAACCATTTTCAGGTCTTGACATAGATTTTCAAGTAGATTTAAGTTCAAAACTGTAACTTGGCCCACATTCAACTTCTTCTTGGTAAGCAACTCCAGTATAGATTTTGCCTTGTGTTCTAGGTTATTGTCCTGCTGAAAGGTGAATTTATCTCCCAGTGTCTGGTGGAAAGTAGACTGAACCAGGTTTTCCTATAGGATTTTGCCTGTGCTAAGCTCCATGCCGTTTCTTTTTTATCCTGAAAAACTCCCCAGTCCTTAACGATTACATTCATACCCATAACATGATGCAGCCACCACTATGCTTGAAAATATGGAGAGTGGTACTCAGTAATGTGTTGTATTGGATTTTCCCCAAACATAACACTTTGTATTCATATTTTACAGATAATTGTATGTGTGGGGTACAGAGATGAGGTAGTCATTCAAAAATCATGTTAAATACTATTATTGCACACAGAGTCCATGCAACTTATTATGGGACTTGTTAAGGAACATTTTACTCCTGAACTTATTTAGGCTTGCATAACAAAGGGGTTGAATACTTATTGACTCAAGACATTTCAGCTTTTCATATATAATCATATATAATTTGTAAACATAAAAATATAATTCAACATAATTCCACTTTGACATTATGGGGTATTGTGTCCAGTGACAAAATATCTCATTTTGATCTATTTTAAATTCAGACTTTAACACAACAAAATGTGGAAAAAGTCAAGAGGTGTGAATACTTTCTGAAGGCACTGTATATGCCGTCATTGGTGGCAGGGGGAGAGAGGATTCAACTTTTTATTGGGGCCTGCTGGACCAGAACAACAATTCTGAAGGGATCTTGTGCAACTCACAGATTTACGGTTTTCTGAGGTATATCTATTAGGGAGGCATGGTATATCGGCCTTCATATCAGTATCAGACGATAATGGCTAGAAAAACATAATATCAGTATTGAATCACCTGGAATGAGTTATCCATCTTTATAATCTTTATCTGCAAAACTGACGAATGCCTAACAAAAGGAGTTTAATGATGGAAAAACACAAATTAGGTGCAGTGTCGCACATGCCTGGGATATGGAAAACACCTTAAATGTACCATAACCTGGTTTGCATCTTGGATACAGATGGAAAACACATGGCCAACTCAACAAGTAAAACAAAAAAATAAATAGATAAATGACATATTATATTACTCATTTGTAAAACAAAAAACAGGTTATCTATTATATTATATCTACATTATGGGCCAGTTTCACAGACCCAGATTAAATAAAGTGAACTAATTATCCCTTTAATGTTAATCTCTCTTGGACAGATGTACAAAATAACTAGCTGACACCATTTCATGTGATTTTAGTTCTGGGTTTCTGAGATTACTTTAATGTCGTAAAACTGTATTTTATATTTATTGTTGTAGTCTCAGTACATCTCGGACACCCAGAACTAAAATGTTGCATAATTGCATCAGATTGTCAATTAAGTTATGGGTAGAAAATGTATTAACTAGACTAGTGAAGTCTCCACCCCTCTAAACTGAAACTCTCAGCCAGTTTCAGGCAAGTTTACTTGCCAAATATCCCCTTCCCTTTCCAAATTCGAAAGATGCGAGCACCTGCAAAATCATGATTTGTCCAAATGACCAGTGATGAAAAATCTGCATACTGGAACAAAGTTCCTTGTTAGTCATTCCTTGTATGTCGACAGATGCTACTACCATTTATGTTACGTGCATCTGTCCAAGAGAGATTACAGTACCACAGTGACAGTATCATCCACACAACTTCAATGACCCTACAGCCTGTTGGGCTTTGAGCCAAATATCAGCTGCTGTCTGAAAACAGACTGACCAATACCCAGGTTTACAGTGGTGAAAGATCAATGAAGATCCACAGAGCACAAAGGAAGCAGAGAATTCCCTGCAGGATCCCAGTGATGGTGACCCTCATCTGTGGGTCTGTACAGGCGGGGAGAGGAGAAGGGGCTGCCGCTCTCATTCATGCTCTTCATGTGTCTACGCAGGTAGCACACTGTGACCCAGCTTGACCCCAACATCACACACAGACAAAAAAACATGTAGATCATTTGCATGGTTAAAAACAAGCTACTTTGCATTTTTGGTGGGTACACTGAGTGTACAAAACATTAGGAACACCTGCTCTTTCCATGACATAGACTGACCAGCTGAATCCAGTTGAAGCTATGATCACTTGTTAAATCCACTTCAGTCAGTGTAGATGAAGGGGAGGAGACAGGCTAAAGAAGGACTTTTAAACCTTGAGATAATTGAGACATGGATTGTGTATGTACGCCATTCAGAGTGTGAATGAGCAAGACAAAGTGCCTTTGAATTGGGTATGTAGTAGTTGGCAGGCGTACCGGTTTGAGTGTCAAGAACTTCAATGCCGCTGGGTTTTTCACGCTCAACAGTTTCCTGTGTGTATCAAGAATGGTCCACCACCCAAAGGACGTTCAGCCAACTTGACACAACTGTGGGAAACATTGGAGTCAAGATAGGCCAGCATCCCTGTGGAACACTTTCTGGGTGTAGTATGAAGAAATCATCCACATGGAAGATGAAAGTAGATAAATAATCAAATCTCCTTTCTCCTGAAGTGTGTACTCTTTCACCACTTCCCACAAATCTAAAAGTATTGGATTGGTGGAGGCATGAGCTAGTGGGAGTTTCCACCCTATTTCTTATACCAGTCATTTCCTTTCAAATCAGTGAAGGGAAGTGAGTGCACACTTTGGGAGGAAGTAGATCATTGGGACATAGCCCATAGAACTAACTATGAGATGAACAACACAAAGTCTGCATTCATAAACCGTCTCCCAGTAGTATTGCTGATCTAGGATCAGGTCCCCCCCAGCCCATATAATTGTATTTCATTATAATCTAATAGGCAGAACTGATCCTAGATCAGCTCTCCTACTCTGAGACGCTTCAGGAATATAGGCCCTGAGCTTGAGTGTGATCATGCAAATACAACTTCCACGAATGATCACTTCTAAAGAGTCAACAGACAAGCAGTTGTACAGAACTTTATTTTATTTATTAAATACGCATGTCTGACTAAAACGCCAGAGGTAAGAGACCATTCATATTAGAAGGAAGACAACAAATATATAAAAGGATAAACTAACAATAGCAGGCTTAATTACAAATATAGTACATCTTTATGCAAACATTCAACGAGATCTGAATCTAAGCATGGTTATTGAACTGAATTCATCCAAGATTCACACACACACACAAACACACACCCTTTTGTGGTCCAAACTTCAGATGTTTCTCTCTACAGAACAGGGTTGGGTATGAGTCCCTCTGACAATGCAACATGTTGAAAATGTCTTCATACATTTCTAACTGTTGAAATACATTAAATAAATTACAAAAACAGTTCTAATGTTCCGACTGACAGACCGCAAAGACCTTGACCATTCAATGTGTCATATGAAACCACTTTGGTGCATCTATTCCTCATCTGACAAATACATTGATTTCTCGACATACATGTATTTTTATAATCTGATATGCCATTAAATATCTTTATACAATGTAACACTACTTGACACACACAAAACAAGTTCGGCAGCTTTCTCTTTTCAACCTGTATTTTCAGTGAAATAAAATAAGACATCATGTTAATCTACAATTCACAGCAGTTGGCAAATGGGTGTCCACACATACACGCACGTGCGCACACACACACACTTCGCAGAACAGACATTTATCCACACATTATGAATTCATGGTAACTTTTATAATTTATGGATTATTTATTTTGACATATAATCAAATCATATGATCAAATTTACAATGATCAAATCAGTGTGCAGTGTTTTTGGTGCAGTCAGACTTCAGTCCACCCACAGTCCAGTGCAGTGGATGCAAATTTACCTTCAGGCCTAGCCCCAGTGCCAGCCATTTTAGTTAGCCCTACCCAGACAGAGGTAGCCTGCATGCCAGTGTTTGTGCTACCATGCCAACTACTTATCACTCATTGCCAAGTTTGGCTTGACAAGGACAGCAATGGATGGAGTATGCAACAGCACAAACAGATCTGGGACCAGGCTAAAGCCTAATTTACACCTTCAGCTTCTGAGCCGTCTGCTAGGTCTGCTGAACGAAATTATGCACATTTCCGCACTGACAAATCTCCTCTTCCGCAGGACACTTTTCCAAGGAGGTGCGCAGATGCGGACCTTGTGCGGATGGGAGCGGACGTTCGAGTGAAGTGGAAGGTGTAAATTAGGCTTAAGGCAGCGGCAGAGGTGGGGTTGGCTGGCCAGGCAGAGGTGGGGTTGGCTGGCCAGGCAGAGGCAGAGGTGGGGTTGGCTGGCCAGGCAGAGGCAGAGGTGGGGTTGGCTGGCCAGGCAGAGGCAGAGGTGGAGTAGCTGGGCGTCAGAAGTAGTCCCGGCGTCGTGAGTCGTCGCTGATGAAGGAAGGGTTCCACTGAGCGGGGTAGATGCAGGAGTGACGGGAGCCCGGCAGGCCGGAGAACGGGTAGAGGCCGTTACGCTCCAGGTCAGAGTTACGCAAAGCAGGCTGCAACACAGGAAAATTAGATTAGGTGGTCAGTGTCAACAGCGGAGGAAGGAGAGAGAGAGAGAGAGAGAGAGAAAGAGAGAGAGGGAGGCGTATGCTAATCCTAACCTGCTGTGGTGGAGCAAAAATAAGAAATGTAGTGGCCCTTCTGTCTAATTGGTTTGTCTATTGTTTTCTGGAGAAATGTCATATGTTTGTCTTATTATAAACCGCCTGGTTTGGGTCCTGGATGCTGATTGGCTGAAAGCCATGGTATATCAGACAATATACCATGGGTATGATGGAGTGCCTGGACACAGCCCTTAACCATGGTATATTGGCGATATATCACAAGCCCCCGAGGTGCCTTATTGCTATTATAAACTGTTTACCAACATAATTAGAGCAGTAAAAATACATGTTTTGTCATACCTGTGGTATACGGTCTGATATACCACGGCTATCAGCCAATGATTAGCTGACAGCCGTGGTATATCAGACTGTATACCATGGGTATGACAAAACATTTATTTGTATTGCTCTAATTACGTTGGTAACCAGTTTATAATAGCAATAAGGCACCTCAGGGGTTTGTGGTATATGGCCAATATACCACAGCTAAGGGCTGTGTCCAGGCACTCCGCAGCCCTTAGCCGTGGTATATTGGCCATATACCACACCTCCTCTGGCCTTATTGCTTAAATATACCACACCCCCCCGGGCCTTATTGCTTAATTAACATTTTGTTGTGTAGTAGTTTCTATATGTACAGAGTAGTAGTTTCTATACGTACTGAGTAGTTGTTTCTATATGTACAGAGTAGAAGTTTCTATACGTACTGAGTAGTAGTTTCTATATGTACAGAGTAGAAGTTTCTATACGTACTGAGTAGTAGTTTCTATATGTACAGAGTAGAAGTTTCTATACATACTGAGTAGTAGTTTCTATATGTACAGAGTAGTAGTTTCTATATGTACAGAGTAGTAGTTTCTATACGTACTGAGTAGTAGTTTCTACACATACTGAGTTGTAGTTTCCATATGTACAGAGCAGGAGTTTCTATACGTACTGAGTAGTAGTTTCTATATGTACTGAGTAGTAGTTTCTATATGTACAGAGTAGTAGCTTCTACACATACTGAGTAGTAGTTTCTATATGTACAGAGTAGAAGTTTCTATACGGACTGAGTAGTAGCTTCTACAAATACTGAGTAGTAGTTTCTATACGGACTGAGTAGTAGTTTCTATATGTACATATTAGTAGTTTCTATACGTACTGAGTAGTAGTTTCTACACATACTGAGTAGTAGTTTCTATATGTACAGAGTAGAAGTTTCTATACGGACTGAGTAGTAGTTTCTACACATACTGAGTAGTAGTTTCTATACGGACTGAGTAGTAGTTTCTATATGTACATATTAGTAGTTTCTATACGTACTGAGTAGTAGTTTCTACACATACTGAGTAGAAGTTTCTATATGTACAGAGTAGAAGTTTCTATACGTACTGAGTAGTAGTTTCTATATGTACAGAGTAGGAGTTTCTATATGTACAGAGTAGAAGATTCTATACGTACTGAGTAGTAGTTTCTACACATACTGAGTAGTAGTTTCTATATGTACAGAGTAGAAGTTTCTATACGTACTGAGTAGTAGTTTCTATATGTACAGAGTAGTAGTTTCTATATGTACAGAGTAGTAGTTTCTATACGTACCGAGTAGTAGATGTCTGTCATCTGTAGCAGGTTCTTGGTGCTACCGTTCTCCTGCATCTCGATGGTCTCCCTCCCCCACTCCATAGAAACACGGTTACTCTTCGGGAACTCTGCGTATGGCGACATCTGAAAATCTCTGCTCTTGAAAATAATCTTATTGATGTCATTCTTGTCTTTCCTGTAAAGAGATACAGACAGACAGACAGACAAATATTAATTAAATGGCAGCACATTGACTGAGTTGAGTAAAACATTTGCATGTTATTATTGCGTTATTACATGATTATTAACACTTATAACAGTTATTTCCAAATTGTGTGGACAATAATGTTTTTCTAATTGAGATATTATTAGTTTGCTCAATATAATACAACATGGACTGAGAATAAGAAATTAGGTTTTGTAATTATATTATTGTGTTATTAGACGGTAACAACAGTACCAGTGTCATTGAGTCTTACTTGCAGCAGGTGACAATGAGGGCGATGATGAGAATAAGGAGTAGGGCACCCCCTGCTGGCGATACCACCACAGCTATCAGCTTGTAGACTATTAGAAACACAAAACATTATGAATAAACTGGAGGTCTGAGTGGTGTACTACGAAGCAAGTTAGATCTACTCAGGCTTTTATACAGCTAGCCAGCTTCACATTCCAGCTCAGGTTTAATCCGTACTATGACGGTGGACATTGCTCGTCTGCCTGCCCCTAACTCTAGCAGGCTTGTAACTACGCGTGTATGTCCCATATGGCTAGTCGAACGCCGAAGAACTCTTCATTGAGACAACGCTGAAACATCAATCCATGGGTGAGTCACTGCCACATTTTCATTCATTTGTGCCCAAATCAAAATGACAGAAAAGTTATTTTTCAAATTCAGCAGGCTATGGTATGAAATAGGCTTTTAGAAGAGCTGTCTTTATTTTATTTATTATCGTTAACCCTGGCAATTTGACAGTTAAACTCATGGTTACACTAGCAATGGCTGCCAGTCTTGATTTCAAAATACAATCGCGTGAAAAACGTAAAGATTGGAACGCAAATGCTGTCATTACTAACAAAAAAATACATTTGATTATTAAAATATTTAACAGTCATCTTCCTCAAATGCAAGGGATGATGGTACAATCTTTGCGAGAGGGAGGGTATCTGATTTAATTGGTCCTAAACTCGTGGCTCAGACGCTTCTTCAGGATAAATGGAGTTAGCCTTGAGTTAGCTTGTCCCGCAGCAGGTTAGTTCTGAAGGATTCGTTGCCATAAAAATGTACCTGGCTAAAAGGTGAGCCACTAACGTGATACCGGTAATCCAGAGTTGAACTCAGAGTTGACCAAAGTTTGCTCGCTAACTCCTGAAACCTGATTCGTAGTATAGGGCTCTGGAGCTACATTTTGATTGTGAGTGCAAAAAAAAATATGTATTGCCCCGCGCTACTTTGCCCAGTGCACTACTTTTTTGAAGAAAAACAAAACAAAAAACTTAATTTTTTCATTCTGATTTTTCAGGGGGTGCTGCAGCACCCTAAGCACCCCTACTTCCCGTGGCTATGGTTCATCTGACTCTGGGGAAGTAGATAAATCCTGAAGTATACCTTTAAATGATTATGTTGTCTTGATTCTCAATTGTATCTTTTTCTCACACTTTTTAAATGATTATTTAGGTTATTAAACTCTCCTACTTACAATTTCCACAGTTGAATCCTCCAAATCCAAATGTGCACCTGAAAGATATAAACAACCAAATAAAAGACCAAAACATGAATTAACAGAATGGTCCAATGGATTAAATGATTAGAGTTCTCATTGCTTACCTGACACAGGTTCCATTGACCCGTTTCAGACCATCACCACATTCTGTAAGATAAGGAATGTTATTTTACAATCATTTCAAAACAACAACGTTTCAGTTATATAATGCATTCTTTTCAATACACTGCTTGCTACAATGAAATAAAAATACTAAAGTGAATTTGACATAAGATTGACCCAGGGTTACATTCACTTGGCACCAAAGTGAATACTGAAACAGGGGGGGAGGGCCTACCTGAACATGTCAATAAGAAACACTTGTTTTTGTTTTGCGTTGCTAAACGTTTCGCTATGGTGTGCTCTAACATCTGCTCGCTCCACCCTTCTAGGCCCCACCTATGCAGGACTGAGGCCCATCCTCTCCCTCCACCCTCTCCCAGACCCAGGCCTCACCTATGCAGGACTGATCCTCAGGGTTGAGTTTGAAGTACCCTGGTTGACACTGGCAGTAGGCTGTCCCATTGGAGTCGGTACAAAAAGAACGCTCAGGGTGACACTGGGTATTCTGGGCCAGACACAGACTCTCAACTGAGGGACAGAGAGAGGAGAGAGGGGTGTGGTAAGGATGGTTGTAACAGGGTCAGGTATGAAATTTAAAACATGCTAATGTTGTACATTGACTTCCATTGTTTTATGGTTAGAAAAGGCTTAAGTTAGCAGATGGTGGCAGTGGCAGTGGCTGCGTACACAAACCCAAATCATGAATTGCATTCTGCCCTTGTCCCCACAGACTGCTTACAAAGTAACAAAACAAGTATGTCATTTTGAAATTAGGATCCCTTTAAGACTGGTGTTAAGGGGAAAGAGGTGAGGATGGCTCATGAAGCAGAGGGTGAAAGAGAGAGGACGGAGGGAGGTAGAGAGTGCTGTACCATGATAGGAGAGCTGGTGAGTGACCACCACTCTGCAGTGTCCAGCGGTGCTGTTACAGTTGTTCAGAGACATCTGTATGATGTGGTAGACCTCAGAGCTGGTCACATCAGTAGAGATAGAGAACATGTTGACAGCAGAGATACGAACCCCGTCCTTCCCTCTGGAACACACACATCACAGCAAACTTGATTTGAAGTCCATTTAAAATCACAACACACGATGGTCCTGCCGAAAAGCGTCAGAGTTGTAAAGTTTTTGTTCTATTGAACATTCATTACAATAAAGGCATTTTAAATATATGGTCCTGCTTGTTTTTTTAAATGAAACTTTACATACAAAATACACAAGAACCAAGAGAGTATGGCTTGTTGTCATGCATTCCGAGTAAATTGGTAAGTGCAAAGCCATTCGTACAGGGGAAGAAGAAACTTACTTTTTACTCAAAGAAGAGCGCCGGTAACCACGCAGAATTGATAGTGAGGCATTCAACTATAAAATAAAAAAATTTAAACTGTTATTAATAGATTATCAATGATCATCTTGAATTAATTATAATACATTAACTATACCTTCCTTACATTCCTAATACATCTATTATCTTGTTTGAACAGGTTTGCTGCCTCACTACAACAGATCCACAATACACAACAGTATACTGTATATCAGTGATAGTAATTTCTCTCTCCCCACTAGGGTTGCAAAACTCCCGGTAATTTAGCAAACGTTTACAATTCTTGAAAGATTCTAAAATTACTGGTTACAGGGAATATTCAGGGATATACACAGGGAATATTCCCTCCCTTTGCAACCCTACTTCCCACCCTGTTCCTGTCCTCCTTACCAGCTGGTTGATCTCTCTCTGGATCTCATGCAGGGTGGCGCTCCTGGAGATCAGGGGGGCGTTGACAATGAACGTGCCCAGGAAGGTTTTTGCTGTAGAGGAAAACAGACACTGTGGTTAACTAAGGTTCAAGACACAGTCTGTAAAGTTTACAGTCGTTTCTTTCATCTAATGAAATATAGGTAACCCGCTTGATATTGAATAAATACAGTGGGGGGAAAAAGTATTTAGTCAGCCACCAATTGTGCAAGTTCTCCCACTTAAAAAGATGAGAGAGGCCTGTAATTTTCATCATAGGTACATGTCAACTATGACAGACAAAATGAGGGAAAAAAAATCCAAGAAAATCACATTGTAGGATTTTTTATGAATTTATTTGCAAATTATGGTGGAAAATAAGTATTTGGTCAATAACAAAAGTTTCTCAATACTTTGTTATATACCCTTTGTTGGCAATGACACAGGTCAAACGTTTTCTGTAAGTCTTCACAAGGTTTTCACACACTGTTGCTGGTATTTTGGCCCATTCCTCCATGCAGATCTCCTCTAGAGCAGTGATGTTTTGGGGCTGTCGCTGGGCAACACGGACTTTCAACTCCCTCCAAAGATTTTCTATGGGTTTGAGATCTGGAGACTGGCTAGGCCACTCCAGGACCTTGAAATGCTTCTTACGAAGCCACTCCTTCGTTGCCCGGGCGGTGTGTTTGGGATCATTGTCATGCTGAAAGACCCAGCCACGTTTCATCTTCAATGCCCTTGCTGATGGAAGGAGGTTTTCACTCAAAATCTCACGATACATGGCCCCATTCATTCTTTCCTTTACACGGATCAGTCGTCCTGGTCCCTTTGCAGAAAAACAGCCCCAAAGCATGATGTTTCCACCCCCATGCTTCACAGTAGGTATGGTGTTCTTTGGATGCAACTCAGCATTCTTTGTCCTCCAAACACGACGAGTTGAGTTTTTACCAAAAAGTTATATTTTGGTTTCATCTGACCATATGACATTCTCCCAATCCTCTTCTGGATCATCCAAATGCACTCTAGCAAACTTCAGACGGGCCTGGACATGTACTGGCTTAAGCAGGGGGACACGTCTGGCACTGCAGGATTTGAGTCCCTGGCGGCGTAGTGTGTTACTGATGGTAGGCTTTGTTACTTTGGTCCCAGCTCTCTGCAGGTCATTCACTAGGTCCCCCCGTGTGGTTCTGGGATTTTTGCTCACCGTTCTTGTGATCATTTTGACCCCATGGGGTGAGATCTTGCATGGAGCCCCAGATCGAGGGAGATTATCAGTGGTCTTGTATGTCTTCCATTTCCTAATAATTGCTCCCACAGTTGATTTCTTCAAACCAAGCTGCTTACCTATTGCAGATTCAGTCTTCCCAGCCTACAATTTTGTTTCTGGTGTCCTTTGACAGCTCTTTGGTCTTGGCCATAGTGGAGTTTGGAGTGTGACTGTTTGAGGTTGTGGACAGGTGTCTTTTATACTGATAACAAGTTCAAACAGGTGCCATTAATACAGGTAACGAGTGGAGGACAGAGGAGCCTCTTAAAGAAGAAGTTACAGGTCTGTGAGAGCCAGAAATCTTGCTTGTTTGTAGGTGACCAAATACTAATTTTCCACCATAATTTGCAAATAAATTCATTAAAAATCCTACAATGTGATTTTCTGGATTTTTTTTCCTCAATTTGTCTGTCATAGTTGACGTGTACCTATGATGAAAATTACAGGCCTCTCTCATCTTTTTAAGTGGGAGAACTTGCACAATTGGTGGCTGACTAAATACTTGTTTTCCCCACTGTAGATGTCCTAACCGACTTGCCAAACTATAGTTTGTTAACAAGAAATTTGTGGAGTGGTTGAAAAACGAGTTTTAATGACTCCAAGCTAAGTGTATGTAAACTTCCGACTTCAACTGTATACCTTAACCCAATAACATAACCTAATCTATAAGTCCCTAAGTATTGTTCATATTTTCATTATTATATGATATGAGACTTTGTAAATAAAGTACTTGTATGTATGTTTAGCTGTAAGATTAGTAGTGCAACTGTCTTACTTTATTATAATCCAAACTGGTCCTGTATAGCTCAGTTGGTACAGCATGGCACTTGCACCACCAGGGTTGTGGGTTCGATTCCCATACATAAAATGTATGCACGCATGACTGTAAGTCACTTTGGATAAACCTGTCTGCTAAATGGCATATATTATAATTATTTATTATTATACTGTATATTAAATAAGGACCTAAATATTGTATTTTTATTGTCATAGGAGACTTTGTAAACAAAGGCTGTACTGTTTGTTTAGCCGTACCTCGTGTGCAGTCTCTTCCGTTCTCCATGTCCAGACCCAGGGGACACTCACAGCTGAAGGAGCCCCTGGTGTTAACACACGTAGAGTCACTGGGACAGGGGCCCGAGCCACTCTCACACTCATCCACATCTGAACCAACACAGCACAACAGACAGAGGACAGAGGACAGAGGACAGAGAGCAGGTCAACACAACATACAGCTGACTATGCACACACGCACCCCGCTCCCCCACACACACACACAGACTATAACATTCAATACCATTAGCAATATATAGACTTTACCAGTAGCTCACACATACTAACATATGCCTGGAAATTGTAGGTTGAGCTCACCCTCATTGCAGGTCGGTCCTATCCATGATGACAGACAGTCACAGGTGAATTCAGTCCCTCCATAGGGTAGACACCCACCTCCATTCAGACAGGGGTTGGGCTCACAGGCACTACCTAAAGAAGAGAGCAGGATTCAGACTGACGTACTGTATCTCTTATCAATGCAGTTCATAGTTGCTTACGATTTCTTAATTGTTCCAAACAACAGTCATTAGGTTTTGGGATCTTCATTTCACTTTTCCAGCTCAATTCAAGGCAAAACTAACTTTAAGAAGAATCAAAGCATTGAAAGATATACTGTGTTGACAAACCTGGGGTTTGTGGTGTAGATTTGATGTCCATTGGAGCTGTGGTCACTTCTATCTCAGTGGTTCCCCTGTCAGTGTGTTTCCCTGTAGTGTGTAGTTCCACTGTGTTCCTGGTGGGGACGCTGTGACTGTAGGAGGAGGCGGCTGTAGTGGTTGTGGCCGTGCTGGTCTCCAGGTGCAAGGTGGTGACGTCGGTGGAGCTCACCCCCATTGAGGGCCCTTGGGTCTGAGTCTGTGTGGTGCCCGGTGGCTGGGGGGTGGAAGCAGAGGTCTGGAGACCCAGGGTAATCTCAGTGGTAGTGGTGGTAGGGATGATGGTGGGCTGAGTCTGGGCCTCAATGGAGTCGGCGGTACTGGGCTGAACCATCCGCGTCGTAGCCAGAGGCTGGGTTGGTGTGGTGCTGGTTGCCGTGGTAAGTCTGTAGGGCTCCTCCTCGGTGACCTGTGACTTCATTGTCACGGTAACAGGTGTGATGGACACCAGGACCTCTGTGGTCACCGCCGGTCGCTGAGTTTTGGGGATGAAGGGAGGCTGGCTGTAGAGGAACCGGGACAGGGAGTCATCCAGGGCGGTGGCACTGTCTCGTAGCATTGGGGGAGCAGTGGTTAGACCCAGGCCAAGGATTGTAGTGTCCTCTGTGTGGAGCGATGGGAAACCCTCTGTCTCACCCTGGCCCCCCCGGGTGCTAGGGGGACCTGTGGAGTACTCGGTGGAGGTCTCAGACCCGGTGACCAGGATGGAGGGAGAATCTCTATCTGTATGTCCTCCCTGAGAGGTGTTGGTGCTGGGATGGCTGGGGCCTTCTTCTGACGACAGCACAGGGGGCTGTGATGAAGCAGAGACCCCCTCTTCTGTCTGGGATGTCCTGCCTCTGAAGGGCTGAATAGAGTCTGTTGTGTCTGTGTCCCGTCTGCTGTGGTTATCAACCACCCTGAGTGGAGGGGTGGAGTTGGGGGTTCCCTCTGAAACCAGAGAGGTGAGGTCCTGCTGTTGGGTCACATTGGGAGGTCCAGTCAGTGGGTTGGTCCCTCTGGAGGATAAACCACCAGACCACTCTGTTTAGAAGAAGAAGAAGAAGAGATTACTTTATTTGTCAATTTTCTACATGAGAAATGGAAATTAGACTTTCTTTTGCATATCCCATTCTCCCCAGTAGGCATACACGTACGGTACATATATATACACAGACATACATATACACAGAGAGGGAGTTTCAGAGGGCTGTTTACTCTGTGAGGAGTTGGTGTTGGTGTGGGGGTAGGAGTCAGACCCAGACGTAGCATCATGCCCATGCTCAGGTCCTGTGAAGGGTATCCTGATGGTGACGTCCCCAGCCCCGGCTCCGGTGCGGCTGGTCGGGAGGTCCCAGGTGGAGGCCTGGGACTGGGAGGAGGAGTTGGAGTTCTCAGAGTACATGGAGGTGCTGTTGGAGGTCACAGACATTAAGGTCCTCTCTCCCGCTCGACTCATAGTGGAGGAGATGTAGGTGCTGTCAGTTTGGACGGGGATGGGGAGAGCCACGGTTCCTAGGTCTGTCAACTGGTCCTGTCTGAGAGTGGCTGTTGACTGCCCTTGCCTGAGACCCACGGTGCCTCGGTTTGTGGACTGGTCCTCTCTGAGACCCACGGTGCCTCGGTTAGTGGACTGGTCCTCTCTGAGACCCACGGTGCCTCGGTTAGTGGACTGGTCCTCTCTGAGACCCACGGTGCCTCGGTTAGTGGACTGGTCCTCTCTGAGACCCACGCTGCCTCGGTTTGTGGACTGGTTCTCTCTGAGACCCACGGTGCCTCGGTTAGTGGACTGGTCCTCTCTGAGACCCACGGTTCCTCGGTTAGTGGACTGGTCCTCTCTGAGACCCACGGTGCCTCGGTTTGTGGACTGGTTCTCTCTGAGACCCACGGTGCCTCGGTTAGTGGACTGGTCCTCTCTGAGACCCACGCTGCCTCGGTTAGTGGACTGGTCCTCTCTGAGACCCACGCTGCCTCGGTTTGTGGACTGGTTCTCTCTGAGACCCACGGTGCCTCGGTTAGTGGACTGGTCCTCTCTGAGACCCACGCTGCCTCGGTTAGTGGACTGGTCCTCTCTGAGACCCACGCTGCCTCGGTTTGTGGACTGGTTCTCTCTGAGATCCACGGTGACTCGGTTTGTGGACTGGTCCTCTCTGAGACCCACGGTGCCTCGGTTTGTGGACTGGTTCTCTCTGAGACCCACGCTGCCTCGGTTTGTCGACTGGTTCTCTCTGAGACCCACAGTGCCTCGGTTTGTCGACTGGTCCTGCCTGAGACTGCTGTCAGCATCAGGACTGTCCTGAGGCAGTCTGGCTTGAGTCACAGACACAGACCTGAGCTCTACTGGGAGCCCAGGGTAGGTCTCTGGTAGGTGGTCTGGTGTTAGTCTGGTCTGGTCCTCCCACTGTGTGGTAGCCTCTGTCGACACTACAATGGTAGAGCTCATCTGCTCTTTCGACAAACTAACGGTTCCTTCTGATGTCCCGTGGGTTGAGTCCGTGGAGAGATGTGTGTTTTGTTCAGTGGCTGTGAAAAATAAAAAAAATACAGTTTAAAAAGGATGATAGGTATGAGTTTTCTGTATTCAAGAAAAGCAATGTGTCACATAGGCCTACATAAAGAGTTGGGGAGAAAGACACCCAAAACAAAAACTTTAATGTCTGCAATGTGCACATCAGGCCAACAGATGGGCCCAGAGTGGTCTTGTCTGGCTTCGAACACTGAAAGGGAAGACGTTGTCAGGAGTTGCTGCCTGCGGATGTAATGATTTTGGGTGGAGAACAATTTGCAGCCAGGCCTGTCTACCCTGTCAAAAGCCTGGGCCCTAAATATGGAGGTGCACTCAGGCCTTTGGGACCTTGCCATTTCCTTCCTAAACCTGATCTAGCAGAAGCCATAGACGTTAAAATACAGTCACACTGCAGACATCGGTTGGATTCATATTGAGGCAGAGTTGGCTCTCTGGCTCATAGTTTGTATAAGCTTTTTGAAAACAGTTCATATCTCATTAAAGTCATATAAATCTGACATATCATTGGTAAGTCCATTGCTTAATTGTTTTGCCAATGACGTTTCTGTTTGTAAAGATACAGATACCTACCTATGACTAGGCCTCCTACTACTAAGATATGGCAGTTCTAGGCCTACACATGCAGACACCACATGTAGGCTATTTCATGGTATGAGAACAGACACCCCGGGTGAGGAGTGTTCCTGTCCGTTTCACCACTACTACTAGGGCCTACAAACTCCACCTCGGCCTAAACCTGGGTTTATAGTTGGTCTGGGGCCTGAAATCTCTGCCAATCTACTCTGCGGCAGCCTGTTGACAGCCTGCCTGCCTCTCTGTCTGTCTGTCTGTCTGTCTTCCTGCTTGTATGTCTGCCTGTCTATAGGGAAGGCCTGAGCCTGGCACTTCTGCACTGACTCAACAATGCTGCTGGAGGGTTTTGGAACAATATCCTACTGCCAGTGCCAAGGAAGAGCGCTGTCTGTGCTGGATAACATCCTGAATGTAACACATAGCAACGACACACTCAGACAGTCAAACTGTCAGACAGTCAGTACGCAGATAGAGGGAAGAAGAGTTCAGCAATGGTATAGTCAGTCCACAGAGAGAGACCTAGGCTGCATCCCAAATGGCACCCTATTCCCTATATAGTGCACTACTTTTGGCCAGAACTGTATGGGCCCTGGTCAAAAGTAGTGCACTATATATGGAATATGGTGTCATTTGGGGTGCACATAGAGAATTAGGCCATTTGCCTCTAAACTAAAGCTCTCTGGTCTTAGCCCTACATTCAGTACACTGTAATCAGAAGCAGACTGGAAGCATCACTATTGGTGCTGGCAGGCCCAATGAGTTAGCTTGTGTGTTTACTTTATTCCTTCTAAACCAGCACCACCACTTGTGTGGCTCCCAGTTCATGACAATGATGCAATGGGTTCTGTCCCAAATTACACCCTATTCCCCATAGTATATTGCACTACTTTTGACCAGGGCCCAGGCTCTGGTCAAAAGTAGCGCACTATATAGGGAATAAGGTGCCATTTGGGACACAGATATGTTCTGTTCCATTCCTTGACTGGTGGAGATCCTCAAATGATTGAAGGGACAGTCCACTTACAATACAACCTGAGATTAGGGCTACCATGGTAACGTTTAAGCTATTGTGGTAGGCCTAATTGGGAAACTGTTATAACATAAGGTCTGCCCTGTAATTTAATTCAAATAGCCATTTAATTATGAACCTTGGCTTGAACTAGCTCTGGTCCAGAGCGTTAGTGTGGCTAGCTAACGTTGAGCTCAGAACTAGACTTTAACCAGCGATAAGTCAACCGTGCGGTTTCAGGGCAGGCACGCTGTCTCCTGGCTGTTCCATAAATGTCCAGACTCAGACCTTTTGACAGAGACTGTAGCGCGCATATATAGTAGATGTGAAAGTCGCCCCAAAGCATGTTGGCTGGAGTACATCTGTAAATAAATTCACAACTTCCCTAAGCTCTAAAGCCAACCTCTGCTGGCTAAGACCATTGGCTTTGAGTTGGGTAGTGTGTGTTGTTGTGCAGAAGATCGCTGGTTCGAGCCCTGCTCGGGGCAGAACTGTTACGCTTATATACAGAGACATTATACTATTCACCTTCTCAAGAAGCGGACCTTGACCCCTGTGCAGATTGAGGCACACTTCCAGTAAAGGCTTGAGAGACAGCTGTTGCCACCGATGTAGTGATTGAGAAGGGAAAACGGGGCTTGAACCAGAGCACCTGCAGTTAACAGCCAAGCACACTGACCCCTGTGCCATGAAGGTTCAGACCTCTTGGCAGTGGCCGTAGTAACCTATGCTTACAAGGAGGCTATAATAACTCTACTCTCTAATGAACTCTGCGCAAATAATTACCGGAAAGAGTCAACACTTTCTCGACACTTACTCACTGACAATACCTCATACGAATTTATGGAGGTAACAACACTTCTAAAACTCTGGCTGAGTGCTGAAAAAAGAGTCAACAAAGACATGAATTGGTTTGAAAGGTAAACCTTAGAAGTTGTTCAGTACAGGGTGTATTACTCTAATCTACTATAGGCTATAAACTGCCAAGCACATTTTAGTATATTGGCTCAAATGATCACTATGATGAATTATACTGAAAAAACATTAAACGCAACATGTAAAGTGTTGGTCCCATGTTTCATGAGCTGAAATAAAAGATTCCAGAAATGTTCCATATGCACAAAAAGCTTATTTCTCTCAAAATGTGTGCACAAATTTGTTTACATCCCTGTTAGTTTGCATTTCTCCTTTGCCAAGATAATCCATCCACCTGACAGGTGTGGCATATCAAGAAGCTGATTAAACAGCATGATCATTACACAGGTGCACCTTGTGCTGGGGGACAATAAAAGGCCACACTAAAATGTGCAGTTTTGTCACACAACACACTGCCACAGATGTCACAAGTTGAGGGAGCATGCAATTGGCATGCTGACTGCAGAAATGTCCACCAGAGCTGTTGCCAGAGAATTGAATGTTAATTTCTCTACCATAGAATTTGGCAGTACGTACAAACCGACCTCATATCCGCAGACCACATGTTACCACGCCAGCCCAGGACCTCCACATCCGGCTTCTTCATCTGCGGGATCGTCTGAGACCAGCCACCCAGACAGCTGATGAAACTGAGGAGTATTTCTGTCTGTAATAAAGCCCTTTTGTGGGGAAATACTCATTCTGATTGGCTGGGCCTGGCTCCCAAGTGGGTGGGCCTATGCCTTCCCAGGCCCACCCATGGCTACGCCCCTGCCCACTCATGTGAAATCGATAGATTAGGGTCTAATTTATTTATTTCAATTGACTGATTCCCTTATATGAACTGTAACCAAGTAAAATCATTGAAGTTGTTCCATGTTGCGTTTATATCTTTGTTCAGTATATATTATTAGAAGACCTTATTATGGCTTAGATTAGGCTACGTCAAATTTCCATAAGGCTATAGGTGAATAGCAGGGTCCATGGTCCAGTTGATGTTCTTTAAGATGATGGCTGCACTTAGGGTGAATTTCCAATTTCCTTATAACATCGGGTGTAGACACTAGTGTAACACTGGTGTTGCAATCTTATGATGGTTTTCGACTGTAAGATAGTAATTTATCAAAACCATCAAACAGGAGGGTGAAACAATGGTTAGAAGCATAGAAGTGTGTCTGTCAGTGTGGGAAAACTAAATACAACTCTTATTGCCCACAGATAGGGCCTCATCTAGCCTACTCATTTAGTTACAGAATTGTTAGTTTTCGACTGTGCCAGCAAATTACGCAAAGATTGTATTCATATTTTAAATGTATCCAGAAATGTTGAATCTTATTTTGTTCTGGGATTTTCAACCTCAATGCTGTTATTTTATTTAGTCTAAATGGACCCCGGTGTGTATAAACAGTCCGTTATAGTTTAGTTTTACATACAATGATTAAATCACGTTTAAATAGTCTCTATCTCCCCCCAAAAAAACACCGATACTTTAAATATTGTCACCGCGGGCGATCCGTGCCACATAAAGGGATGGGACAGTGTGTAGAACTATTGCCCCGTTTGCGAATCCCAGGGGATGTTCTCTCTTCCATATGTCTGTAGGGGCCTATCCTACTACCCCTTACCTAATTTAGCTTCACTCAACATCCGGGTCTCACTCTCATCAGAATGCCTGACTCGGTGGTGGAGTTCTGTTCCAGTTGATGGTGATGATGCCTCCCTAAAGTCTGTAGAAGTTCCCGGAGTAGTAAACAAGTATTTTGGTAATGCAGTTATTTCTTCTGAGTTCGTGACGCTGGGAGAAAAGTATCCCCCCGTCACCAGTGTCCTATCCATATCGTTGCTGCTGGAAGTGTACGTCCACGCATTGAGGGGTCTCAGAACGAACAAGAGGACCACAAAAAAAAGACGCGCTAGAACTACGTGACTCAAATAACACGTTTCCATAATCAAAACGACCCGAAAACGGCGGAAGGTAGGAGTATATTCCAAACAAGTAGCGCCGAGTCGCCCACAACCACCATCGGAAACTGTATTCTTCAGTAATTTCTCATTTTAAAAATCCCTTCGGAGACCCTAAACACCCATTGATCCGATGGCGGGCAATAAATTCGGAAACCATAAAGTGGTGCTGGAAAGAGAAGCCTGTTATCATATCCGAGGCGCCTAGCTCCTCCCACACACATCAGCGATAGTGGTTTCCACCCAATTCCCAGTAGCCCGTCCGCGGGCTGTGGGCTAGTCTATTGTTACACTCAACTAGACTTCAGAATATCAAGAATCTCTGAATCTGTTACTTTGTACTGATTTCTTCAACATAAGATACAATATTAATCTTGACATGCATGCCACAAGTGTGGAGTTGAGACCTCTCAGATGAAACGTTGACTTGATGTTAGTTGCAAGTCACAAAATTGCAAATCAGCTGCAAATGTTACAAAGTTGCAAAGGGACATCCCCCACCACCACCCATCTACATACAAGCAGATGAAGCCATACATTCTAATCAGAGGTCAAACATAGATTGGAAGAAAATAACATTATTTATTGTTTATATATTCCATGACCATGGACACAATAAATAGAGAATAACCATTTGAGCATTTCATTGAGAGGAATGCATTGCCACAGTCACAGAGACCTGTACAAATCCAGATGTCATAGAGTAGGACTATTGATTTCAGCTTTCAGTTTGACTGCTTATATGTAATCTGTCTATAAGGCCTAGAATGAGACATTATTTCAGCCTGGTCCCAGATCTTTTTGTGCTGTTTTGCCAACTCCTATGGTCATTGTAATGAGTTGGCAAGACAGCACAAACAGATATTGGACCAGGATACTATGGTCTGTGATAGGACCAGCCATCCAGAGTTGTGGTGATCAGTTGAGTTGTAGGTGTGCCATCCTGTCTGGTTCGATAAAGGAAGACTGGTGGTAGCGGTCCCGAGAGGCAAAGTCCAGGTTTTCTTCTGTCAGCTGCCTAGTTTCCATGCCGACTCCTGACAGAGAGGGTGTCACGACCATCCGGTCCCGAGGATACTCACCGCTGAAGGACAGGACATTAGAATAGTTAGAATAGAATGTGCAGGCCCCATGGTCTGGGGTCTTGGCACATGTATGCAACCCGAAGACCGGAGTTCAATCCCTGTCTCCTCTTAAATAAAGCAAACATTACATAAATAGAATAGAATTAGAAAGCTGTCTGTTTATTCCAGTTTAATATATCAGTAACACATTAATATAAGTCTTCAGGTAGGATATGATGCTTCATAACTTCAATTAATAATTTCATTTATAATGTAGTTCCTGGTACTCATGACAAACAGTTTACTTAAAGCCTGCAGGTATGATGCTTTAATTACTTGTTATAAGCATGTACAACAAGCCTTTATAATGTCTTGGTGCTTAGTACTCATGACCAGTTCAACATAAAGTTAGTCCTGTGTAGCTCAGTTGGTAGAGCATGGCATTTGCAACGCCAGGGTTGTGGGTTCGATTCCCACGGGGGGCCAGTATGAAAATGTATGCACTCACTAACTGTAAGTCACTCTGGATAAGAGCGTCTGCTAAATGACTAAAATGTAAAATGTAAATAAATGGCAGGCCTATTATATGACACTTCTACAAACATACTGTACTACAGTGTGGCAAAGTCTTAAATGGCACACTATTTCATATATAGTGCACTACTTTTGACCAGGATCTTGTCCCAAATGGCACCCTATTCCCTAAACAGTGCACTACTTTGACCAGAGCCCTATGGGCCCTAATCAGAAGTAGTGCACTATATAGGGAATAGGGTGCTATTTGAGACAACTTTTTTTGTACTCCCTATATTCTGAACCCAGAAACAGTGGTAAACAGCTCCAGAGGGTGACTCTGTGCGTACTGTATCACAAGCAACCAGCTGACCTGGCCTTGTGTATGGAAAGATACTGTACAGTGTTTCAGTGCTCTCGGTTGTTGTTGCTGCTCCAAGCTGATATTGTACGAGCATTTCCTGAGTTCCTGAACATTTCCTTAACTTGGTTACCAAGACGTTGATTTCACTGCTTCTGTCTACTATATTTAATGATTATACTATATAAAGGTAGACTCAGCGATTTGACGTAGATGCATTGAAGCGTAAGGCTCAACTTCTTCGCTGTTTTGGTCCCGTGGCTACCACGCTGTGAACAGCGTGAAGCGAACCCGTGCACATGCGCATATACTGTTTTGTGACTGTGTGAGAGCGAAGTCTTGCATCTCGCTCATCTCAATATCTGCGGTGATGCTCTAGGCTGAGTCTACCTTTAAAGACAACGCTAAACATAATACACTAGAAAGCTGAATACATGATGAATGATGATCATTTTATAAGAGTTTTTTTGATGCTGTATACCTTCCTAGGTTGCTCAGGGTTGTCCTAATCCATCTGAAAAAGCTGAAACGAGCTGCCACTCCTGTAAACACACAAAAAACAACATTGTAATAAATATGATACATCTACTACTAGCTGATATTATAAACCATATTTCAAAAACAAAACATCTAAGTTAGATGTATTCAATAAGCTAACGCTTGCCACTCCAGAATAAAAAACTATTCCTCTGATATACAGTAGGAGATCTTTGTGTGACCTGTAAAATATGAAAACCATTTCACTAACCATGACAACTGTGGCATGTGTGGTGTGCATGTGTGATCTTCAGTATGCCTCTGTCACAGTCTTGAGTTAGGGGAGCAAAGCAGGGAATTGTATGGAGGGGAGATTGTATATCACAGAGTTGCAGAATCCTCTAACTCAGCTATTCGAACTATCCTGCTGAACAGCTGTGTGGCTGAGAGACTGTAACTCAAGGCTTCAGCAGTGACTGACACACTTTCTTGTATTAGAAATGCACAGAGATGTGTGAATGTGACAGTTGTTGACATGGATGGATAGTCACCTATTGGAAGGCCAGGGCTTGCTTTTCCAATGTAGAGGAAGAGGACCAAGGCGACTATTATATTGGCCAAGGCATAGACCCACTGAATGACAAACATGATCAGGATGGAACATAATGCCTGCAGAGGGGGGAAAAAACATTAGTAATCAAGAAAATACATTTAGATACAATAGGGCAGAACTGTTATACTGCATGTTTTACTGGCTTACTTACACCAATCAGTGCAATCCAGTGGTTGCAGAATTTGGCATAGAAGGAATCAGGCATCCGTTGGATTTCTGATCCCTGGTAGTCTGGTTTACAGTCAGAACCTGCCATAATATTTACAGAAATGAATGAAGTATAAACAACAGGCATTATAACAGAAAGGTAGACACAATCCAGACATTCAATAACCTATTTTACTATTACAACACTATGTAAATAGTGTACTCTATGAGGTGGGTAAATGGTTGCAAATTAAGTAGAGAATGTCGTAAAATGCCGACACACACAAACTCATGCATGCCCACGCACACAGGGAGTGATGAAGTTGACTGAATCAGAGCTGTGCACCATGTGCCCAATGGTACCACTTAATAAATGCCAAAAGTGAACTAAAATTCTAAGTCGAAGTACTCCTCACCAGTGTTTTCTCTCTGTGACCCTGGAGGGTCAAGCTCTATGGGGTTATGACCGGGAAGGGTCTTGTCCTGCCTCACTTCCTCAGGGTCAGGGCTGGGCTCTCCTGACCTTTCCTGGGGGGATACACACTCTCCTGGACCTGGGGGAGCCTGATCAACCCCTCCTTCTCCATCTTCATCTCCCTCACTAGGGAAGGCATTGCTTTTACGGTCTAGCCCAAAGCTGTCCATCAGTGTCTTCTTGCCGGGGGCTTTCACCCTCCTGATCCTGCCTCTCAGGCCTGGCATGGAGACCTTCTCTGTGGCATTGTCCTTTTCTGTCTCCTCCTGTTCACCACCATTGGGCAGGGGGAAGATCTGGTCCATATCCCTAGTAAACTCTAACAGGGTCCCCTTCCCTGGGCTCTCACCGTCCCCCTCTGTACCATAACCCTGGTGGATTGTGGGGGGAAAAGTATTGTTTTGTGATGTATTGTACTGACCTGAAAATGAATTTGCATCAATTTTGATTGACACTTGATTGAACTCAACATTTAACAGAATTTTGACAAATGTATTGACTTATGAAAAAACATAAAATAACCTGGTGGGTGGTGGTCATGAGGGGCTTGGAAGTATGGTTTGTGAAGGATGAGGCTCCAGTCCCAGGCCTCTTGGCAGGACCAACCCTCTTCTCTCTGGGCTGGAGGTTATAGGTCATCGCCACACTGAAGTAAGAGTAGTCAAAGTCAGCTTTGATTCAAGATGTCTTGGGTCTGGTTCCAGCACACATGTCCGCCCAATGCACACACACACACACCTGAAGTAGGAGTAGTCAATGAAGCTGTAGGTGAGCATGAAGTTGATGGTGACGATGGGGGCCAGGACGTTGACCTGTCCGATAAAGACGAAGGCCATGGTCAGCAGGCTAGTTAAGACTATGGCCGCCACCGGAGTCTTATTAGGACCTTTCTGTTGGAGACAGACAGAGCAGACAAAGAGAGAGCTAGAGCGAGAAAAAAAGAGGAAGATATGCTATGCTCTGCTGAGAAGCTCTAATTTCAACAAAAGAGCCAAACCGGTTGTTTAAAAAGGTTGCTGTGTTTTCAGACTAAGCCTGCTCTGACTAGAACTACAGCCAAGCTGCCTGAACCACCACTGGTACTCTCTCGCTCTCTCTCCCTTTCTGGCAGTGTTCCAGGCCAATCTGGGCCGGCCCGTCCGTCTCCCTTCCTGGGTTTGTTCTGAGGCTTTGATTCGGGGTGAGATGTCTAGGGCCTGGTTCCAGCAAACACGAACACACACACAGTACATGCCACTCTGTACTGAGGGGCGTGTGGTCCGAGGAGAGGAAGGGGGGTTCAGTGTGCTGTGTTTCATAAGGTACGACCAACCGTTAGGCTACACTCAGGCTGCATCTCAAATGGCACCCTATTCCTTAAATAGTGCACTACTTTTAACCAGAACCTATAGGGCTCTGGTCAAAAGTAGTGAACTATATAGGAAATGGGGTGACATTTGGGATGCTCCATCCGTTCTCTTTTTCTCTGTGAGGTTAGTTTACTCAACTGACCACTCTAAAATCAGGCCGTTCTCTCACCGTTTCCCATGGAACCCACCCGTCGTACTGGTATCACCCCCCACCTACTCGAGACAGACTATATTGTGTTTGATGGTTCTGATTTAGCCAAGAGAGAAAATGTTCAGTTCAAGTTGTGACAAACTGTTTATAGCAGCACAATGTGTTTTTTGGCTTAGGTTAGTTCTGTGGCACTGTTCACGTGAGAATGATTATCAGGAGCTGTATCAACAGTCTAAGAGTAGGAGTGCTGATCTAGGATCAGGTCCACCCAATCTATGTCACCTTATTCATTATGAACTAAAATCCTAGATCAGCACTCCTACTCTGAGATGCTTAATACATAGAGCCCCTGATCCATTTCTCTTAATTTTGGATTTATGGATCATCCACCATCCTGCCAGGCAAACCAACCCCTTGTCCCAGGAAGGCCAGGGCTGGGATGACCCTCTCCTGGGCGATGACCTGGAGGATCCTGGGTGCCCCGTACAGACCGCCCATGCAGGAGGCCAGCGAGGAGATGTAGAGGCCCAGGAGAAACAAGAAACCCACCAAGGAGACCTGGGAAGTTGGAACAAACAAACAGAGGAGGAAAAGAGGCTAGAGTACGGTCCCATGATGACTACACGCAGCTAAGTTCTGCTCAACCAACCCCTTATGAAAATAGGTTAGAAGCAGGAATCAAAAGGAGGACATAATGTAGGTATTTTTGCAATTAGAACAATTTCATATACACATTTGGTAACACTTTACTAGTTAAAAGATGGCGCCGACAGACATGGCAGCTCTGCTTCTAGCTCCTAAGCAACTTTGTACAAGCATTTTGCTACACCCGCAATAACATCTGCTAAATATGTGTATGTGACCAATACAATTTGATTTGATTTACCTGCAGGCTTTAAATCAAGTGTTACCATGAGTAAAAAATTTTTTGAAATCACAAATAAATCTGTTTGCAAAGAACTTGGTGTACAGCCTCATAGGGGATCTAGATACATTTTCTAACCTCTCTGGATTACAACCAAATTATGATAAATGTACTATATTACGTATTGGATCACTAAAAAATACAATTTTTACATTACCATGTAGTTTACCAATAAAATGGTCTGATAGTGATGTGGATATACTCAGCACACATATCCCAAATGAAATAAATGATCTCACTCCATTACATTTTAATAGAAAGTTAGCAAAAATAGATAAGATCTTGCTACCATGGAAAGGTAAATACCTGTACATTTGTGGAAAAATCACCCTGATTAACTCTTTAGTATTATCCCAGTTTACCTATTTGCTTATGGTCTTGCCTACGCCTAGCAAACAGTTTTTTAAATTATATGAGAAAAAAATATTCAATTTTATTTGGAACGGCAAGCCAGACAAAATGAAATGGGCCTATTTATATAATGAATATGAATTCGGAGGACAGAAATTATTAAATATTAAAGCATTAGACCTATCACTAAAAGCTTCAGTCATACTTAAATCCGAACTGGTTCTCTAGCAAATTAGTAAGATTGTCTCACCCAATGTTCAAGAATGGCCTTTTTCCCTTTATTCAGATTACAACCTCTCACTTTCAGTTTGAAAAGGAAATCATCTCCCAAATATCACAATTTCTAAAACAAGCCATTGAAAATTGGTTGCAATTTCTATTTAATCCTCCAGAAACGAAAGAACAAATAATGCAACAAATATTGTGGTTAAACTCAAATATACTAATTGATAAAAAAAACGTTATTTTTTTAAAGAATGTTTATAAAAGGTATAATCTTCGTAAATGATATCATCGGTAGGACTGGTGGAGTTATGTCGTACATGCAGCTAACAAAAAGATATGGAAATGTCTGCTCTACCCAAAATTACAACCAAATAATTGCAGCATTACCGCAAAAATGGAAGAGGAAAGTGGAAGGGGGAAAAAGTAAGGAACTTGTCTGTCGGCCCTGCATTAAAGAACATAATTGGTTAAAGAAAATTATACCAGTTTCAATCAAGGACCAAAGGATTGACAGCCGTCCCATATAGATTGCAAAATAGTTGCGAAGAGATTTGACGTACCGATTCCATGGCATAGTGTTTATGAACTGATACGCAAAACGACGCCGGATTCAAAACGTAGAATTTTTCAATTTAAATTATTATACAAAATTCTTGCTACCAATAGAATGTTATTTATATGGGGGATACAATCCTCCCAGCTCTGCAGATTTTGCTGCGAAGAGACAGAATCATTAGATCATTTGTTTTGGTACTGTCCATTTGTAGCTTGTTTTTGGACACAGGTCCAGGAATGGCTAAAGGATTGCAATATTTACATGGAGCTAACTCTGCAGATAGCACTACTGGGTGATCTGAAAAGTCATACTCAATCGATCAATAATATAATAATACTTTTAGCAAAAATGTTTATTTTCAATTTACAATCTGTAGAAACAATGAGAATAGAAGGGTTCAGAACTTTTGTAAAACATCACAATACAGTTGAAAAATATATGGCAAATAGAAATCCAATATGGACGGTGTTAAGAGATAGATGGGTGGTGTTGAATGGAGTTAAAGGATGGGACTAATAACAACTAACAACTAATAACAACAAGATAACTAATGTAAAGCATACTGTGTCCATAATAAGTATATAGGTTATAGGTTGAGAGCTTTTGTGAAAGAGCACAGTTAGAAAGATATGGCATATAGAAGCAAACCGGATGGACTTCATGAAAATGATCAGAGAGGTTGAGGGTAGAGGAAGTTCAGGAGTAAAAACAAACAAAATATAATTATTGTAAAATTGACTGTGTCCATAAAATGTATATAGCATGTATAAGCTGGAAGTAGAGGCCTAAGCATTGTTCTTCACTAGTTTACTCCAATTAGGGAAGGGGTGGTGGGGTTGGAAAGTAATAAAGGGAAATATATTTTAAAAAAGGAGATGTATATACAGTGAGGGAAATAAGTATTTGACCCCTCTGCAAAACATGACTTAGTACTTGGTGGCAAAACCCTTGTTGGCAATCACAGAGGTCAGACGTTTCTTGTAGTTGGCCACCAGGTTTGCACACATCTCACGAGGGATTATGTTCCACTCCTTTTTGCAGATCTTCTCCAAGTCATTAAGGTTTCGAGGCTGACGTTTGGCAACTCAAACCTTCAGCTCCCTCCACAGATTTTCTATGGGATTAAGGTCTAAAGACTGGCTAGGCCACTCCAGGACCTTAATGTGCTTCTTCTTGAGCCACTCCTTTGTTGACTTGGCCGTGTGTTTTGGGTCATTGTCATGCTGGAATACCCATCCACCACCCATTTTCAATGCCCTGGCTGAGGGAAGGAGGTTCTCACCCAAGATTTGACGGTACATGGCCCTGTCCATCGTCCCGTTGATGCGGTGAAGTTGTCCTGTCCCCTTAGCAGAAAAACACCCCCAAAGCATAATGTTTCCACCTCCATGTTTGACAGTGGGGATGGTGTTCTTGGGGTCATAGGCAGCATTCCTCCTCCTCCAAACACAGTGAGTTGAGTTGATGCCAAAGAGCTCCATTTTGGTCTCATCTGACCACAACACTTTCACCCAGTTCTCCTCTAGGCAGCATTCCTCCTCCTCCAAACACGGTGAGTTGAGTTGATGCCAAAGAGCTCCATTTTGGTCTCATCTGACCACAACACTTTCACCCAGTTCTCCTCTGAATCATTCAGATGTTCATTGGCAAACTTCAGACGGGCCTGTATACAGTGGGGGAAAAAAGTATTTAGTCAGCCACCAATTGTGCAAGTTCTCCCACTTAAAAAGATGAGAGAGGCCTGTAATTTTCATCATAGGTACACGTCAACTATGACAGACAAAATGAGAAAAAGAAATCCAGAAAATCACATTGTAGGATTTTTAATGAATTTTGCGTGGAGCCCCAGATCGAGGGAGATTATCAGTGGTCTTGTATGTCTTCCATTTCCTAATAATTGCTCCCACAGTTGATTTCTTCAAACCAAGCTGCTTACCTATTGCAGATTCAGTCTTCCCAGCCTGGTGCAGGTCTACAATTTTGTTTCTTGTGTCCTTTGACAGCTCTTTGGTCTTGGCCATAGTGGAGTTTGGAGTGTGACTGTTTGAGGTTGTGGACAGGTGTCTTTTATACTGATAACAAGTTCAAACAGGTGCCATTAATACAGGTAACGAGTGGAGGACAGAGGAGCCTCTTAAAGAAGAAGTTACAGGTCTGTGAGAGCCAGAAATCTTGCTTGTTTGTAGGTGACCAAATACTTATTTTCCACCATAATTTGCAAATAAATTCATTAAAAATCCTACAATGTGATTTTCTGGATTTTTTTCCCTCATTTTGTCTGTCATAGTTGACGTGTACCTATGATGAAAATTACAGGCCTCTCTCATCTTTTTAAGTGGGAGAACTTGCACAATTGGTGGCTGACTAAATACTTTTTTCCCCCACTGTATGTGCTTTCTTGAGCAGGGGGACCTTGCGGGCGTTGCAGGATTTCAGTCCTTCACGGCATAGTGTGTTACCAATTGTTTTCTTGGTGACTATGGTCCCAGCTGCCTTGAGATCATTGACAAGATCCTCCCGTGTAGTTCTGGGCTGATTCCTCACCGTTCTCATGATCATTGCAACTCCACGAGGTGAGATCTTGCATGGAGCCCCAGGCCGAGGGAGATTGACAGTTCTTTTGTGTTTCTTCCATTTGCGAATAATCGGACCAACTGTTGTCACCTTCTCACCAAGCTGCTTGGCGATGGTCTTGTAGCCCATTCCAGCCTTGTGTAGGTCTACAATCTTGTCCCTGACATCCTTGGAGAGCTCTTTGGTCTTGGCCATGGTGGAGAGTTTGGAATCTGATTGATTGATTGCTTCTGTGGACAGGTGTCTTTTATACAGGTAACAAACTGAGATTAGAAGCACTCCCTTTAAGAGTGTGCTCCTAATCTCAGCTCGTTACCTGTATAAAAGACACCTGGGAGCCAGAAATCTTTCTGATTGAGAGGGGGTCAAATACTTATTTCCCTCATTAAAATGCAAATCAATTTATAACATTTTCGGCATGCGTTTTTCTGTATTTTTTTGTTGTTATTCTGTCTCTCACTGTTCAAATAAACCTACCATTAAAATTATAGACTGATCATTTCTTTGTCAGTGGGCAAACGTACAAAATCAGCAGGGGATCAAATACTTTTTTCCCTCACTGTATGTATGTGTATGTATTTATATGTATGTATGTGTATATGTTTGTGTATGTATATGTATATACAGTGAGCTCCATAATTCATTGGACAGTGACCATTGTTTTGTTATTTTGGTTCTGTACTCTAGCACTTTGAGTTTGAAAGGATACAATGACAATGAGCGTGAAGTGCAGACTGTCAGCTTTAATTTGAGGGTATTTTCATACATATCGGATGAACCGTTTAGAAATGACAGCACCTTTTGTACATGGTCCCCCCATTTTAAGGTACTACAAGTATTTGTTAAATTGGCTTCACAGATGTGTGTCGTTAGGCAGGTGTATTCATTTGTGTCGTTAGTGAATGCAGGAGAGCTGTTGATGAATAGTAATGATTCTAGACGTTGCTATTGCCTTTGGAGGTTGTTATTGGGGTGTGACAACATGAGGAAGACAGCAGTGTCGATGCAAATGAAGTTGGCCGTCATAAGGCTCAGAAATGAAAATCAATCATTCAGGAACATTGCAAAAAAACCTGGCCATGCCCAAGTCAACAGTTTTGTTCATCATTAACAAGAAAAAAACAACCGGTGAACTCAATTATGTCAAAAGACCCGGTAGACAGAGGAAGGAAGACCACTGTAGTGGATGACCGGAGAATACTCTCTATGGTGAAGAAAAAACCCCTGATAACAGCCCAACAGATCAAAAACACTCTCCTGGATGCAGGTGTAGATGTGTCAAAGTCTACCATATGCAGAAGACTACACCAGCAGGACTACAGAGGGTACACTACAAGATGCAAACCACTGATAAGCCTGAAGAACAGAAAGGCAAGATTACAGTTTGCTAAAAAGCACCTAAAAGAGCCCCAAGAGTTCTGGAAAAAAGTATTGTGGACAGATGAGACAAAGATTAACATGTACCAGAGTGATGGAAAGACAAAAGTGTGGAGAAAAAAAAGAAATGCCCATGATCCAAAGCATACCACCTCATCCATGAAACATGGTGGAGGGGGTGTTATGGCTTGGGCCTGTATGGCTGCCAGTGGAACAGGCTCACTTGTCTTCATCGATGATGTGACTGCAGACAGAAGTAGAACAATGAATTCTGAAGTCTACAGAAATATTTTATCTGCTCAGATAAAACCAAATGCCTCCAAACTCATTGGACGGCACTTAATCATGCAACAAGACAATGACCCTAAACATACTGCTAGAGCAACAAAGGGGTTTTTGATGGCCAAAAAGTGGAAAATCCTTGACTGGCCGAGTCAATCACCAGATCTGAATCCAATTGAACATGCATTTTACATGCTGAAGAGGAGACTTAAGGCAATAAGTCCCCGAAACAAGCAGGAACTTAAGATGGCTGCAGTACAGGCCTGGCAGAGCATCACCAGGGAAGATACCCAGCGTCTGGTGATGGCGATGCATCGCAGACTTCAAGCAGTCATTGCATGCAAAGGATATGCGACCAAATATTGACAATGATTACTTTATTCTACATTATGTTAAACTGTCCAATGTTTTTTGATGCCCGAAAATGGGGGGGACCATGTACAAAAGCTTCTATAATTCGGAAACGGTTCATCCGATATGTATGAAAATACCCTCAAATTAAAGCTGACAGTCTGCACTTCACCCTCATTGTCATTGTATCCTTTCAAACTCAAAGTGCTAGAGTACAGAACCAAAATAACAAAAGAATGGTCACTGTCCAGTGAATTATGGAGCTCACTGTATATATATATTTGCGAGAAAAAAAAACATATGGGGGATTGGAAGTGATGCAGACAATTACATTGATGGAAGTTACAATCTATCTGCAATTTTAAAGCTAATCTACCCCCTTAAAAAAAAACTTGGTGTACAAAATGTGTGTGCTGTATATTTGCACTGAGCTCAATAGTATTTCTGCTGTACCATATGCTGTAGATAACGTGTACACATATGCAATAGATAGCCCATCCCTCTCAACCCCCCGTACACCACCACCCACTAATCCAACCCCCCACCCCAGACAGCTGAGCTGCACCCCCTGTACAGTGTATCAACCCTAGCGCCCACACCCTTCCACCACCTCCCCCTGCTAGCTGGTGTAGGGACAGCTGTGACTGGGGAGAGTGTGGGGGTGGGGGGGTGGGAGGGTATTGACCTCAGCAGTACAACGTTTCTCTCATTTCGGTAATTACAATAATTAGCATAGAAGTTAGCAAGACAACATAAACAGATATGTGACCAGGCTACTTCATCACACTTATAATAACAGATTCCCATTATGCCTATCACACAGTTAGGATATAAGGGAACACACAGACAATTATTGTGTAGCCTATGTCTGTGTACATGTTCAAAATGTTGAAGAATGTGTAGGAAGTACTGTCATGACTTCCGCCGAGGCTGCCTCCCCTCCTTGTTCGGGCAGGTTTTAGCGTTCGTTGTCACCGGCTTACTAGCTGCTGCCGATCCATTTATCATCACTCCACTTGTCTTGTCTAATTAATCACACACACCTGGTCCTTATCCCCAATTAGTAATTGTATAAGTGTTCCCTCTGCTTCCTTGTCTGTGTGGGTGATTGTTTGTAGTGAGCTGTGTGTAGCTCGGTTGAGCTACCCTTACCTTGTTGTTGCCTGGGTAGATATTTCCCCTGTGCCTGAGTTTTGTTGTCACATGCTCGCGCAACTGTTTATCGATGGAATAAACTCTTTGGATGCGTATTACTCTCCTGCGCCTGACTCCTTCTATCACACACATCACACCTACAGTGAGGGAAAAAAGTATTTGATCCCCTGCTGATGTTGTACGTTTGCCCACTGACAAAGACATGATCAGTCTATAATTTTAATGGTAGGTTTATTTGAACAATGAGAGACAGAATAACAACTAAAAAATCCAGAAAAACGCATGTCAAAAATGTTATAAATTGATTTGCATTTTAATGAGGGAAATAAGTATTTGACCCCTCTGCAAAACATTACTTAGTACTTGGTGGCAAAACCCTTGTTGGCAATCACAGAGGTCAGACATTTCTTGTAGTTGGCCACCAGGTTTGCACACATCTCAGGACGGATTTTGTCCCACTCCTCTTTGCAGATCTTCTCCAAGTCATTAAGGTTTCGAGGCCGACGTTTGGCAACTCGAACTTTCAGCTCCCTCCACAGATTTTCTATGGGATTAAGGTCTGGAGACTGGCTAGGCCACTCCAGGACCTTAATGTGCTTCTTCTTGAGCCACTCCTTTGTTGCCTTGGCCGTGTGTTTTGGGTCATTGTCATGCTGGAATACCCATCCACAACCCATTTTCAATGCCCTGGCTGAGGGAAGGAGGTTCTCACCCAAGATTTGACGGTACATGGCCCCGTCCATCGTCCCTTTGATGCGGTGAAGTAGTCCTGTCCCCTTAGCAGAAAAACACCCCCAAAGCATAATGTTTCCACCTCCATGTTTGACGGTGGGGATGGTGTTCTTGGGGTCATAGGCAGCATTTCTCCTCCTCCAAACACGGCGAGTTGAGTTGATGCCAAAGAGCTCGATTTTGATCTCATCTGACCACAACACTTTCACCCAGTTCTCCTCTGAATCATTCAGATGTTCATTGGCAAACTTCAGACTGCCCTGTATATGTGCTTTCTTGAGCAGGGGGAACTTGCGGGCGCTGCAGGATTTCAGTCCTTCACGGCGTAGTGTGTTACCAATTGTTTTCTTGGTGACTATGGTCCCAGCTACCTTGAGATCATTGACAAGATCCTCCCGTGTAGTTCTGGGCTGATTCCTCACCGTTCTCATGATCATTACAACTCCACGAGGTGAGATCTTGCATGGAGCCCCAGGCTGAGGGAGATTAACAGTTATTTTGTGTTTCTTCCATTTGCGAATAATCGCACCAACTGTTGTCACCTTCTCACCAAGCTGCTTGGCGATGGTCTTGTAGCCCATTCCAGCCTTGTGTAGGTCTACAATCTTGTCCCTGACATCCTTGGAGAGCTCTTTGGTCTTGGCCATGGTGGAAAGTTTGGAATCTGATTGATTGATTGTTTCTGTGGACAGGTGTCTTTTATACAGGTAACAAGCTGAGATTAGGAGCACTCCCTTTAAGAGTGTGCTCCTAATCTCAGCTCTTTACCTGTATAAAAGACACCTGGGAGCCAGAAATCTTTCTGATTGAGAGGGGGTCAAATACTTATTTCCCTCATTAAAATGCAAATCAATTTATAACATTTTTGACATGCGTTTTTCTGGATTGTGTTGTTGTTATTCTGTCTCTCACTGTTCAAATAAACCTACCATTAAAATTATAGACTGATCATTTCTTTGTCAGTGGGCAAACGTGCAAAATCAGCAGGGAATCAAATACCTTTTTCCCTCACTGTACATTGGACATGAATACTTCTGAACTTGATCATCAATAGGAAAGAGAGTAAGCTCTTCAAAAGGAAGTAGTCACTATGGTCACAATGAGGAAAGGAGGATGGACAGAGAGAGTTTACCTTTTCTGCTATTAAGAAGTCGAAGTGCAGTGCCTCTCTGGTGCAGATGGCTCCCAGCAGAAACACAAAGACCAGATACAGGAACCACCTGTAGTGGCCAACAATACCACCCCCAGTTTTTCATCAGTTAGATGGAAAATCACACATCTCACTATAAATAGGAAATTATGTCACAAGATCCTAAATGCTTCATGGCATGTTGGGAGTGGTGTGGGAATAAAGATAAAATGGTATAATGTTTTTCTAATCCCCAGCAAAAAAAAGGCTGAGGAACAAGTCCTGGAACACCTCAATGATATAAGTGTTGGTAGTAACAACAGACACGTACGAGGTACAGACGGCAGCCAGTGTTCCCACAGGGATGTTGTGTTCAGGTCTCTGCAGATCTGAGCTCATGTTGAAGCCTGCCATCACACCTACATACAAGACACAGGACAGGAGGATTGACTGTTATGATCACAGACAGATCAGAGCTCATGTTGAAGCCTGCCATCACACCGAAGCACCAGGGACAGGACTAGATCATTATTATATTATAACTATAACTATTATAATTATAACTATTATAACCACATTTATATAAATTGTCACTGTGGAAGCTCACACCTATGGCTAGAAAAGGGCATTGTTTATGACCATTGAACAGCAGGACACCTTACAGATGCATTTAAAGCATTGTTTATAGTCGGTCCTTTGAACCACTAGAATGTGACAGTGTTAGACCTAGAGCAGGGACTGTGCAATGACTGTGATATGTGATTTTGTAACTTACTTACTTACTTACTTACTTACTTAGTTGAATGCACAGACTGTATAAGTCACTCTGGATAAGAGTGTCTGCTAAATTACCAAAATGTAAACACGTAAGCAGCTGTAAACATGGCTATAGTAGTTCACCTGTAGCAGCGGGGAAGAACACTCCAAATACAGTGAAGAATCCTTCTCCTGTTGTGTAGTCTGGTAGAGCGTTCTTACGTAGCAGCTCCTGGGAGTACCCTACGAAGCCATGCTCTGAAACAACAAAACATCCACAAAGGCCAAGGTTTAACAGAGATTCAGCATAAAGTTAAGTCTCTTATTTGTGTGGATATCGTGATCATTAAGTTTTCATAATGCTCTTAGGCATTTTAACTCCTGCCCAATTCCATAACTTCTGGTAACATTTTACGGAAAACCTGCTGATTATTATTAAGGCTCATACATGCTCATTACATTTACATTTTACATTTTAGTCATTTAGCAGACGCTCTTATCCAGAGCGACTTACAGTTACTGAGTGCATAATTTTTTTTTTTTCATACTGGCCCCCCGTGGGAATCGAACCCACAACCCTGGCGTTGCAAGCGCCATGCTCTACCAACTGAGTTACACGGGACCTCATAACAGGTTATAAAGCATCCTTACTGCAGGCTTTAAAGGGCAGGTTGCACAATTTATTTTCACAAATCTAACAACATAGATTGATGATATTACATTTAAAACTGACTTTATGCAAAAGTTTATAAAAAAACACAATAATTATACACTTCCATTTTAGCAATTTGAATTACATTTATTGAAAACTCCAACAATACATTTAGGCTTTGACGTCAAGAAGGGAACGGCCTGGTGGTGGCGGCAGTGCACTACAACCACTGTTTATCGGTATGCATGTTTGGCCCGAAATGCGATAAGATAGGAAGAAAGTAGGGCCGCTTAGTGAGGATGCGGTGGGCAGACTGGGGCAGGGGAACCCCTGCCTGGTTCTTAAGTCACAGGCAGGGCTCACTGTCAAAAACGATTATGATTGCTACCAACATTGGAAGAGTGGATTGATTCACCATGAAGCTGAGGGAAATAAATGGTTCTGTGCCCACAGTCAATGAAGACTCCAAGTCCACTGACCGCACCGGTGTTACTACAGCACAACGGCGGGTGGCTTCGGTGATGGAGGTGAATCGTGTAAGTAGGTACTAAAGTGGCCAAAGAGTTGTCATGTTATGTCAAACTGGCCCACTCACATGAATCTAGAATGGTGTTTGGGGGTGGAATAAGCTAGCTAGATAGCAAGCAAGCAAGCTACAACCACCATTTTGCAGAAATAAATACCAATTGGATTAAATGTAATTGTTTTTTAAAAAGTATGTCTTTATTTTTGCTGAACTGCCTGATCTTTATTGGCCGATATAACTTGCAAGATATCATGCTAGCCAATGTTTGTTAGCCATTATACTTGGATGTACTGCTGCTAGTAGTAGCACTCAGGTTAGCATGTGGCTAGCTATAGCTACCGTCGGCCAACAACAGCGTTCTAGCCAGTTTGGTTATAGTCGTTCAATGTCTACTATGATGGTAAAGGTTTATCTTGATTGTGTGTAACAGTACAAGAACTGCTGATGTGCTGATCTGTGTTTCAAGGCTGCTAGTGGTTAGCTAGTAGAGGTAAGCCAGGAGTGTAAAAGGGGCTATGCTAAAAGCCTGTGAGCTGTATAAGTAAAAATATTTTTAACTGATACAGAATAAAGAAATCACAGGATATGGTCAGATGATAAGTTGGCTTTATTGAGAGTGCCGGTATGATGTGGGTCTTCACCGTCATATGTGGACAGTGACTTCACTCCTGCTCATGTAGCGCTCCTCTTTACGTCACATTTCCAAATGCTTTTCTGACATGATATTTAGTTGGAAGGATGAAAGAAAATCGGACTGTTTAACAGCAACCTAATTCTGCAGTCTAAGAGAGAGAGTGAGAGAGAAATAAAGAGAAAGAGAGAGAGTAATAGAGAAAGAGAGAGTAATAGAGAGAGAGAGTGACCCTAGTCTTTTTTCCAGTGTTAGGTAAGACCAGGGCTGGGTTCAGGAACCAGTCTAACCCTAACTCTAACCCCCCAGGATCAAGACAGAAGTGTCTGCTCTGATCCTGACAGACAACTCCAGACCCTTAGAACCCTAACCATAACCCAGCCCCTTATGTAACTGTCCAGGAGGAGAGGAACCATATCCGCCCCGCCTAGATGCGTGCAATCAGGGGGCCAGGACCTAGTTTACAGTAACACTAGCCAAGTTAAACAGCACAGAGAGAGAGCTGGGCTGGGCGTGCTCACTCACAGACAACAACTCTCACACAGGCGCCCGACAAACATTTGCAAGAAAAGCACAGAGATAAACATTGTGCTGCTTTACCGTTGGGTGGACATGATTGATTTGTTCACACCACGTTATAAAATGTTACATGGGGCATGTGGAGTATGGATAGTTTAGATTTCAGCGCACATAGCTGGTCATGATATGCAGGGAGGACTGCAAGCAGTACAGCTATATAAGCAACTGTGGAGTAAATGGTAAGCCTACACAAACAGCCTACAAGCAATTAAAAAACAAGAAAATATAAAGAAATGTATTCAATGACCATGAATAAAAGCTTGTATGAATCAAGTTATTCAGCTGCAAGAAACTATTCCTGAAGTCTTTGTAATGGTTCATGTGGTTCCTCCCGAGGTTGAGGTACAGTAAGGCTGCATCCCAAATAGCACCCTATTCCCTATATAGTGCACTGCCTTTGACCAGGGCCCATAGGGTCAAAAGTAGTGCACTATATAGGGAATTGAGCGCCATTTGGGACAGAGCCATGTTCTGGTGGGGTTAAAAGGTTTAATCCAGAGGGTGAAATCTGAAGGACCCGCCTATGTAAGAACATCAAACACTTCCCTCATGGTTATCTTGCGATGGGAAAGAATTTGTTCTCTCAGATGAATGACATGTTTATCCAAAAGGAAGTCGCCACCCTTTTCAGAAGCCCTGCTGGTTCCAAGTCCAAGAGGAAGAGCGAGAGAGAGAGAGAGAGAGAGAGGTAGGGTTTTAGGTTTTATTTATTCGCACCAAAGAAAAACAGTGAAAGAAAAAATAGTACAGATAGAAAACTGGTAAAAACTGTGTGCAGATGAGGTTGGAAACCTAAAAGGGCCTATATGAAAAATCACACCACAAAACCCAATATACAAATACGTTTTTAAAAAATCTGTTAAAACGAGCATACTAATTATAAATGTACATTATATACTCAGTATACAAGAAAAAACATGCTTGATTATGTGTGTGCATGTGGGAGTTAGGCTACATGGAGGAGACTACTGGGTAGTTTGGTTCATCAGGCTGACCCCTAGTCTATGTTTGAAGTTATTGAGGGATGATGATGTTTTGGCAATGTGAAGATAGGAATTCCAGAGTATGGAACATCTGTATCTGATAGAGAATTGACTATGTGAGGTGCGGCAGTGGGGAGGGTGAAGGTTATCGCAGAGTCTTGTGATGTACGCATGGATTTGGGAATTAACCTAGAAGAATCCATTGAAGGGTTTAGGTAGGCTGTCTGGGAGGTATATGTATTTGTAGGCGCATAAGTGGAGTATATTAATGTTGTAGATAGACAATATATTGAGTTTCTTAAACAGAGGGGCAGTTGGAGCCAAGTAGTTAGAGGAGGTGGCTAGTCTTACAAATGTCTTCTGTGTGATGAGTAATTTGTATTAGAGAGAGGTGGGGGAGAGAGAGTAATAAAGAGAGTGAGAGACTAATAGAGAGAGAGAGTAAGAGAGAGAGAGAGAGAGAAACTAATATATAGAGAGAGAGAGAGCAACTAATATAGAGAGAGATAGAGAGTAAGTAAGAGAGAGTAATAAAGAGAGAGAGAGAGAAACTAATATAGAGAGACAGAGATAGAGAGTAAGAGAGAAAGTAAGAGAGAGAGAGAGAGAGAGAAAGAGAAAGAGACACCTCATGTTCTCTCATTCTAACACTGCAGCAACACCACAGAACGAACCCAACACGACCTCGCTTTTAGAAACTAAATATAATAACAAGGTCAAATTTCAAAATGAAACAACAATACCCACCAAATTCCTGTACATTACATGACCAACCGAGACCTCCCTCTATCCAAACAATGATAATGTAACTGAAGTACAACAGAACAGACAGGCCCAGGCAGGTTGTGTCCCAAACGGCACCTTATTCTCTATAGCCCCATAGGGCTCTTGTCAAAAGTAGTGCACCATGTAGGGAATAGGGTGCCATCTGGGACACACCCCCAGTGTCCACGAGCACCACACTTATACAGTGCCTTGCAAAAGTATTCATCCCCCTTGGCGTTTTTCCTATTTTGTTGCATTACAACCTGTAATTGAAATTGATTTTTATTTGGATTTCATGTAATGGACATACACAAAATAGTCAAAATTGGTGAAGTGAAATGAAAAAAATAACTTGTTTAAAAAGATTCTAAAAAAATAAATAACGGAAAAGTGGTGCGTAAATATGTATTCAACCCCTTTGCTATTAAGGCCCTAAATAAGATCTGATGCAACCAATTACCTTCAGAAGTCACATAATTAGTTAAATAAAGTCCACCTGTGTGCAATCTTAGTGTCACATGATCTGTCACATGATCTCAGTATATATACACCTGTTCTGAAAGGCCCCAGCGTCTGCAACACCACTAAGCAAGGGGCACCACCAAGCAAGCGGCACCATGAAGACCAAGGAGCTCTCCAAACAGGTCAGGGACAAAGTTGTGCAGAAGTACAGATCAAAGTTGGGTTATAAAAAAATATCCGAAACTTTTAACATCCCACGGAGCACCATTAAATCCATTATTAAAAAATGGAAAGAATATAGCACCACAACAAACCTGCCAAGAGAGGGCCGCCCACCAAAACTCACGGACCAGGCAAGGAGGGCATCAATCAGAGAGGCAACAAAGAGACCAAAGATAACCCTGAAGGAGCTGCAAAGCTCCACAGCGGAGATTGGAGTATCTGTCCATAGGACCACTTTAAGCCGTACACTTCACAGATCTGGGCTTTACGGAAGAGTGGCCAGAAAAAAGCCATTGCTTAAAGAATAAAATAAGCAAACACGTTTGGTGTTCGCCAAAAGGCATGTGGGAGACTCCCCAAACATATGGAAGAAGGTACTCTGGCCATCAAGGATTACGCTATGTCTGGCGCAAACCCAACACCTCTCATCACCCCGAGAACACCATCCCCACAGTGAAGCATGGTGGTGGCAGCATCATGCTGTGGGGATGTTTTTAAATCGGCAGGGACTGGGAAACTGGTCAGAATTGAAGGAATGATGGATAGCGCTAAATACAGGGAAATTCTTGAGGGAAACCGGTTTCAGTCTTCCAGAGATTTGAGACTGGGACGGAGGTTCACCTTCCAGCAGGACAATGACCCTAAGCATACTGCTAAAGCAACACTCAAGTGGTTTAAGGGGAAACATTGAAATGTCTTGGAATGGCCTAGTCAAAGCCTAGACCTCAATCCAATTGAGAATCTGTGGTATGACTTAAAGATTGCTGTACACCAGCAGAACCCATCCAACTTGAAGGAGTTGGAGCAGTTTTGCCTTGAAGAATGGGCAAAAATCCAAGTGGCTAGATGTGCCAAGTTTATAGAGACATACCAAAAGAGACTTGCAGCTGTAATTGCTGCAAAAGGTGGCTCTACAAAGTATTGACTTTGGGGGGGTGAATAGTTATGCACGCTCAAGTTCTCTGTTTTTTTGTCTTATTTCTTGTTTGTTTCACAATAAAAATTATTTTGCATCTTCAAAGTGGTAGGCATGTTGTGTAAATCAAATGATACAAACCCCCATAAAAAATCAATTTTAGTTCCCGGTTGTAAGGCAACTAAATAGGAAAAATGCCAAGGGGGGTGAATACTTTCGCAAGCCACTGTATAACATAATGGTGTTAACACACACCAACTTCAACCGACACAGCTCTACCCACTTCTCTCATTCACCCACACTGACCAAAGGTTTAAAAAAATACAATTAAAAAAAGTATGCATGCGTGCTGACTGGAGAATGGTGACCATGACCATAGAGATCCTATAATTCACTTTTCTATTTATTTAGTTGGATTTGACCCACAACCAGGACAGTATTCATTGGGAGGAGTCCCTGATCCTCTGATTGGAGGACCCTTCATAATATCACAGGATGTGATGATTTGGCGCTTGGTCTCAAGAGCAGCTCTCTCAAATCTGGGTTCCGGCCTTTTCTTTTTGTCATTGTCCAAAAATGTGGGTGAGCCCGGTTAACACCCTACAACCAAAACAATGAAACACATTCTGGAACTTCCTGTATGTTCAATCTGGAAAAGAGTTCAAATTAAGATCAAGAGGGACAAGTGAAAGGGGGGTGGGGGGGATGAGTGCCAACACCTTTGGTTACAGGAAATATACCCTTAAATTCCACTGGTTAAATAAATGAACACATGCATGCATGATTCACAGACTCTATAACGTGAGGACAGAGGATAGTTATTATATTAGTTACGAAGAAGATGACTTTATCGTCCAGTGTACACACTACTGAGACTCCTGTATTTTTTCTACCCGAGAGTCAGACCACACTACTGAGACTACCCGAGAGTCAGACCACACTACTGAGACTACCCGAGAGTCAGACCACACTACTGCAGCCAGGAATTACTTGTCAGACTACATCATTAAACAGTTACATGAACAGGGGAAGGAAGTTAAGATCACTTCACAAATCAAAACGTGTTCTCTCTTTTAAAGGGTTAGATGTATTCCCATTTGACTCATATAATGAGTTTTCCCACACAGAGCACAGATCAGTATCAGGATAACGATGCAGAAATGTTAGAGATTTAGAAGATATTTCAAATGTATTTATATTTCACTCAAAGTTATGGCACTACTGGGAGTGGCATAGAGCTTCTGGATTCTCCCACGAGGAACTGTTTGTTAATCATTCCTTTACCTCTCAGACGTCTATACCGCATTAGTTGTCCCATGTAGCTCAGCTGGTAGAGCATGGCGTTTGCAGGGTTGTGGGTTCGATTCCCACGGGGGGCCAGTATGAATATGTATGCACTCACTAAAAACTTTAAGTCGCTCTGGATAAGAGCGTCTGCTAAAAAATTAAATAATAATAATAATAAAAAAATTTAAGAGTACAGTCAGAGTCAGTTAGTTATCAAGACAGGTAGATGGGGTAAATAAAACTGTAACCATCTGGCTGTTGGTAGTGTAATAAGCAGTAACCAAACCTTTACTACAACATTTCCGTAACATAGACAACCTATCTAAATGACAAAATGTGTCATTCTTGAAACCTACAGTATTTGACACTTCAGTTTCAGAATTTAATCTACTTCATCCATGACCAGAAATACATAAATCTTGCCATAAAAGACAGCATTAACCATTGAGACCACCTTGACCCTATGGGGGGAAAAAAAAAACGAAGAAAAAAAACGAGCGTCTGCTAAATGACTAAAATGTAAATGACGACTAGCCCAACTGGCCTTCTACTCAAATCACCAGTCTGATAGTCTGATCTAAAGTGTTATCAAACTATAAACACATTTGCCTGGCACCTCCTTTTTAAAGGAGGTGCCAGCCAAAGCAGGCCGTACAGCCCCCAACCAAGGGTGTATCCGAAATGGCACCCTATCCCCTACAGAGTGCACTACTTTTGACCAAAGCTCTATTGGCCCTGGTCAAAAGTAGTGCAATATATATGGAATAGGTTGCCATTTCAGACGCAGTCCTAGTCTGCTAGACTGGAGGACAGGGTGGCTCCGTGCCAAATCATGAGATCGCCTCAAAACACAGCAGCAACTTATTGAGAAATGCCTGGGCAATCCACTGCATCAGTTTCACTAGGCCACAACCACGAGAAGTGATCCCTATGGCAGCTCTGGGGTGCAACCCAAATGGCACCCTTTTCCCATAGGGCCCTGGTCAAAAGTAGTGCACTATGCAGGGAATAGGTAGCCATTTGGGACGCAGACCTGGGCTCTGGGTTCTGACTGGGAAGGAGAGGATCATTAGGGATGAATGGTTTGGACTGTAAAGGAGAGGAAAGACATGATGTGCAAGGGGTAAGGTTTAAGGTTTCAGCTTCCTGAACTAAACCAACCCCCATCACCACCACCACCAATTAGGTAGCGCACTTTGTGGTTTGTTGAGAGAAAGAAAGGAGAAATGCCCAGCTCCTACTGGAACACTGTGTGTTTGCATCCCAAATGGCACCCTATTCTCTTTTTTTTTTTTGTGATAGCAAATTCATCAGGGACCCCCTCATAATCAGAACACAACTCGAGTGCAATAAAAATAGTCTACAAGGAGTTTTACTATGACGTCTGCAGATAACATTTACAAGGCCCGCCTCTTGGCATCAGAGTGAATTTTGTCATGGGGCAGAGAGATTTTTTGTTGTTGCAGCTTTAAAGCAAATTTCCTGCAATTTTACACATTTTGCCATGAGGCAGAGAGAAAACTTTTCAGTTTCAAAGCTTAAATTACAGTGCATTTTTTTTATTTATTTTTTATTGGTGGAGTACTGTGCATACCAATATCCCTGTGAGCCCCACAGGCCCATGTTGCCTAGCGTTAAGAACATAAATTGTAGATTAATATTATTAAAATGTATTACACACTTCAAACTTATTCCACGGATCCCTTGGCCAAAAGTAATTTAATCTGTTAGTAATATTCATAAAAAAATAAATGCAAAAAAATGTATAATAATAATAATAATAATAATAATAATAATAATAATCTGGCCGTGGACCCCCTTCATTAACTGCGGATCCCACTTTGAGAACCCCTGCCCTAATCAGTGCACTACTTTTGTCAAAAGTAGTGCACTACATAAGGAGTAGGGTGCCATTTGAAACGCAACCTGTGCTCTTCCCTTGGACTGGAAGTGGATAATCAGTGAGAACAGGAAGAGCAGGGATCAACTTCCTGTTGAAGGCCGGGGAAAGAAAAACAAATCTGGGTAAACCACACCCACCATATCCTCATCATGAAAAACCTTCTGGGTAAACATTACACAAGACTGAGTGCTGCCTGAGTCAATCAAACTTGCCTCATCACTGATTACCGCATGCATTCAATATTTCAGATCAATGCAGAAACAGAGTGCTCCTTTTTCTTTATTTTCCTGAATAGTCACCAGTTGAAGTGTCCTGGGGTAAGTCCCTCAGTCAAGCACCTGATTCCTTTTTTGTTCAAGCTGGGCTGAAGCGTGTGTGGGTACACCTTTTTTCTACAGTATGCATTATTTTTGTTCAAGCTGGGCTGAAGCGTGTGTGGGTACACCTTTTTGCATTATTTTTGTTCACAAGTTACTACATGCACGCACACACAGTCTGGAAACGTCAAACTGATGGGGAGCCTATAAGGTTCTCTACAACCAAAGAACATTTGTGATTTTATTTGACCAAGGGGAAGAACTAGGTATGTTTATATGCTACTGCTACTGCATAAGAGTATGACGAGTATGAAGTAAGAGGTGCAGTACATTTGCAACTAAGCTAGGGGGCTGAGAGAGGGCTTATGAACTCTGAAGTCTACAGTAAATGCAGTACAGAGAAAGCTTGTGGTTATCCTCCAGGCTATATTATGGCACAGTGACACCTACTGGACAAAATTGTTAATTGAACCTGTGATCTAACCAGTGGTTCTCAAACCTCTCCTCGGAGACCCCCAGCCATTCCATGTATTTGAACTATTCCAGAGCTAGCACACCTGATTTAACTAGTCAACGAATGATCAAGCCCTTGACTAGGTGAATCAGGTGAGCTAATTCAGGGCTACAACACAATTGTGAAACGTCTGGGGGTCCCCCAAGGAGAGGTTTGAGAACCACTTATCTAGGCTAAACAAGAACAACTCCTCACACCACCACTGTGCTACTCCTGGCACTCATGGCCCTTCTGTCAGTTCTACACACACACTTCTGTCAGTTCACTATACACTACAGTCCATGCGATTTTGTCAAGCACAACACATCCGCAGGCCATGTTATGTACACACCTGGGTCGAGGTGGGAAAACGTCCCTATAACGAAGTCCAGCGTTGAGACAGCCAGCATGGCCAGTAGTATCAGCTGGAGACGGACGATCCATTTGACCCCGGCGAGGTTAATACCCAGAAGGCAGAGCAGGACAACTACAGACATCCCTCTAACGGCCCACTCACTCTGCAGGTTCAGGAGCTGGGCGATAGACTCCGAGAACCCTGTGATGTACATGGCTCCAGCCACACACTGTTGAAATCAAAACCCACGCAGAAGACATACATGAGACCTTTGTATGTAAACATATAGATTCATCTTTTTATTTATTTAGCTATATAATCTTTGTTTTAAAAGGTGAGTTGACTGAAGGTGAGTTCTCCTTTACCACAATGACCTGGCAAAGGGTTGCAGGGGGATGAAGGGGGAATGAAAACATATAGGCGCGCACACACACAAACATGCTGTTTCTCACCTGGCCGAAAACATACAGGAGCCCCACGGTCCCTCCTACTCTTCCTCCCAGGACAGTAGAGATCATGGAGTACACTCCACCACTACCGACCCCACAGCGCTCGCAGACGCCGATGCCTGACATCACTGTTACCAAGGCAACGATAACCACCACAGATACCAGGAGCATACCTAGCAACACACCTAGGTTCCCCTTACATCATCAAGAGAAAAAACAAAAAGAAAGTCATACAATATATGGAGCAGGTCCTAGATCAGTGTTTCTCATTCCAGTCCTAGGGTACGCCCAGGGTGTGCACATTTTTGATCTAGCCCAGCACTAACACTACTGATTCAACAAATCAATGAATCACCATGCCCTTGATTAGTTGAATCAGGTGTGTTATTGCTGGGATAGAACCAAAATGTGCACACCCTAGGGCAGAGTTACTCAAGTACTATTTCAGAAGGTCCAGTCACACAAATTTCCTAGGTGGCAAATGTCCGAATGGTTATTGTCATTCATCGGCATAGTAACAAACCCCCAACTCGCAACCCATGCAAACCCAAACTGTTCACACCCCTCTTCATGGCGGAGAGAACGTTTTCCAGGTTTAATGCTCATTCCCTACAATTCTACACATTTTGCCATGTTATGTATACATATAATACCAGGGGTCGAAGCCCGACAGTCCCCCCCCTCAACCAAAAACATGCGGTCCATATTGACCCCGCTCTGGGTCCAGATCCGGCCCCCGTGGTCCGCCTGTTGAGTATGGGGACCCCTAGGTGGTCACTTGGAATAAGATCATAAAGAAACACTAGTCTAGATCCCACCCTTAAAACTCTTGCCTACAGCTACCTGCCCTGGGACTACAGTTGAAAACTAGCTAGCTGGCCAAATCTGGTACATTTACATAAATGTTGATTTGTGTGCATCGTCCCTGTCAAATAAATGTATTGAATGAAATTAAATGAAACTCCAACTCACCACCAGCCACCCAGTGCGGAGGAACAACACCACACCAAAGATGTTGATCATACAGGTAGTAAAGACTCCATCCCATGTCCCAAACAAGACAGGCTCCCACACAAACAGTTTCACCCTCCACCATGGCTGAGCGAGATGCTGCGACCCCTGCAGATTAGAGTAGGCGACACTTTCAGATTTTTACCATTTTACATTTTAGTCCTTAGGCAGACACTCTTATCCAGAGTGACTTACAGAAGCAATTAGGGTTAAGTGCCTTGCTCAAGGGCACATCGACAGATTTTTCACCTAGTCTGCTCGGGGATTATAACCAGTGACCTTTCGGTTACTGGCACAACACTCTTAACCACTAAGCTACCTGCACAACTTTTATAGTCTGGTCCAGTGGCTATTTTAGCATGTAAATCTCGAAGGGGCAAAAAAAAAAAAAAAATACACTAAACAATCAATTAATTGCACTATAACAGTGACAAATGGTGCCCTCAAACTGTTAGGGCCTACATAAAGCTGTGCCAACAGCAGAGCTTTCTTTTCAGCACCATAGTGTGAATCCTTACCACTGCTACACCTGGCTATCAGCACAGCCTGGTCTGGCAGCGAAACAGTTCATTCAGCCTCATTTACTGCCTTTAAAAAAAAACATGGCTGACTTGCTTAAACAAATGTGGTTTCTACTGACAATTGATATGTACAAACTGTCATAAGGGGACGACGAGCGGATAAGAGGGTAATCCGTAATTTCGATTAAGACATTAATGAGCGATCTAGGACAGACGTAGTCAATAACTATTTTTTCAGCACTTTTTAAATGTACAGCGACAGAATTCAGAACATGGGCCATTCTTACAGTATTCTCCCTGTACACCAAGTCAGAACCGTATGATAAATAAAGGGGTCATATAAGCAGACAATGAAAGCTCTTACAATATTCTATGGTTACATCTCTAAAACAGAATATAGGCTATATGTGCACCACCAAGTCAAAACAGTAGGCCAAGTTATGGGGGAAAGGGACCAAATTATTAGGGTGAGGCACATGGGCTACTAACAGTTTACTACACAACATACTTAGTATTAATTTCTTAGCTACAGTATATATATCTCCCTGGCATATTACATAATTAATGCAGCAGCATACAATACATTTTTTGAACTTAGAAAAAAAACAAGGTCGAATCGTGACGTCAGTGATCTTCAGGTCGGAGCTCTAGAAAGAGGCCCAAGTTCCCAACTTGGAATTCGGAGTTGGATGGCCGTTCAAAACGTATTTTCCCAGTCGGAGCTCGTCTTTTTCCACAAGTTCCCAGTTATCTTGAAGTCTGAGATATCCCAGTTCCGAGTTTCCAGTTGTTTTGAACGCGGCAGAAGTCATGCTGGATTGACAGCATGGCCAATGCATTCAACCTTTTCTGGCCTATGGTGTTGAATGTTTATCCTATTAAGCTTGGAAAAGAGACTCTTAAAACCAGACTTGGACCACTCACCCACTCCACTGAATATCAGGCTAGTGATTGATTTGCAACACTTGCAGTTAGCCACTGATTCCTTCCAAACCACTCATTGTTGAATTTGCGATTTCCAACTTGTTGTGTAATGTTTATGTCCAATGGCCGATGAGCACCGATATGTTTTATCTATAATTTCTCATCATATGACAAGGATTGAAAAGGATTTGCCAGTAGATTGTCGACGTGATTCATGATGATGACTGCTTGTCTAGCTTGCTAGCTAAGATTTTGAAAGTATGATGTTGACATGATCAGTTCAATCAAAGCTACGGTGGATGTAACGTGATTTGACCTAATTTTATCTGTGGCCAATGACCTTGAGCCTTCTTGGATGGGCACTTCTAATGTAACTCTACGGCAGCACCCAAGGGGCTTGAATTTTCAAGCTCTTCCCATAGATTTTGCAGTGTCCCCATGAGTGACAGAACACTGAGCCAATCACGGTGCAACTAGAGAACATTACCAACCCCTACGCTCCGTATTGTCCGCTGGCTGCCCCACCACCACAGAAAGCACTGAGCTAGGCTGAAACACCTGCATTTTGGAGCTGCCTTACTCAAGAAAGCAAAAAAGAGACCATGTTTGAATGCGGCTTTATTAACTCAATTATTTCTACAATGTTTGCAAACTGATATGTGACACATGTTAATGCCAAAATAACATGCAAAACAGTTTTTAGCTAAACAGGTTGGGCTCAAAAGACCCCCACCTGCCCTGATTGACGGGTCGCCACTGGTCTGGTCCCAGATCTGTTTGTGCAGTCTTTCCCACTCCACGCCATAACAATGACCATGAGATTTAACAAGACAGCACAAACATATCTTGGACCAGGCTCCAACTGTGTCATCAAAGATGATTTCCTCATACCCTCAGGGCAGGCAACATTTGTGGCAACTTAACACCAACGCAACTGTTGGATTTCAGCAACGTCTTGACTTGTAATGATAACCTACCTGAGCGTCCTCATGGAACAGATCCTGGACAGGTGTGGTTTTACTGCCGCTGGCCCTTCTAGACTCCCTAGCCTTCAGAAGTTCTGTCACATCCTCCACATTAGACCTGTGGAGAGTCCGGCCGAATGGCAACGCTTCCATAACAACCGCTTTGACCAAACCTCTGCCTGCACGCACTCCAGTTTAGTACCCTGGAGTGGATGGATACATAAAGTACACCAGAGTTTAAAACCTTGAAACAAGGTCATCAATGTGAATATTACTCCTGGTTAAAAGTTTTGTATATTCATTAACCCCCAAAGTAGACAAAAAAACAAAGGGAAAGATTGTCTGAAAACCAATCATTTCTGGCTAACTATCTATAGGGCAGTGTTTCAGAAATAAGCTATACAATTAGGAATCCTTACTTGATGGGGAAAATCATGAGCTTATTTAAATATATTGATACAAAGGCAGCCTAATCATTGCCTTACCTTCCCTGGAGCCAAATAGAGGTGTGCCAACTAAACACAGACACCCGGATGCAGGCAGCAGGTGTGATTACTCAACAGCACGAGCCTGACTTGCCTGGATCAAGGTAGGGCAGTGTAGTTGAATTCGAGGCAGAACATTTGTATCGAATTACCGGTACATTCCTTGACATAAGATGTATTCACTGGGGCAAAATGTAATGAAGTCTGTAAGGAAAACGGTTGCATTTTCACATGCCAGAAGATCACCTCCGTTATATTAAATGTTTTCGTTTCTTTCATATGCTTATGCGCGTAGGCTATATTGCTATCAATCGGAAATAGGAACAGTTCAATAAGCACAGATCTAAAAAATCTCTACTTCCATCTCAAGTCGTCCTTACTTCAGCGAATCTGATATAGGATCAGTGAAAAATCAGCACACAATAATGCTTGATATCTCTTTACCTACCTCAAAAATGAACTCCCATCTCAACTGACGTCCTCAAAATTCTACTCAAAAATAGCCTGTTCCAAATATCGAGTCTCTCATTCTAAAATCTTAATACAATAAAAGTACATTAAAGATAATAAATGATTAATGTTGCGATAAAAATCCAACCTTATTGTTTGACCTCACACTTTCTTCCTCTGTCTGCACCATAAGCTTAGTATTGCAACGTGTTCAACTAACGTCAGCGGGTAAATGTTTGTTTTGACCAATGCCACTTTATAGGTGTGTTGCTCTGCTCCAAAAAGATACAGCTATGCCATTTGTTAGTTTTGGCCAACCTTCAAATGTACATTTGGCAGCAACCTGATTGAAATACCAAGGCGAATTCACAAGTGTTAGACTATGTGTATTTTATATGCCCCATGATGGAAAATAATAGCCTAATCAATTACCTTTCATTATTAGGTTTATATTAATATTATGCATTATATTACTAAGAAACAGTAGGCCTACTATACTGAGAATGTTTATCATGTCCTTCCAAATTTGAAATACAAAAATTGAATAATCAGATTTTTCACTTCTAATAGTAATTTACTGAAATACATCAGCTACAATTAAAGCAGTACATTACATATAAAAAAATAAAATAAAACATCCAGTTCATTCGAACCGACAACTTAGACTATGCAAATCAACATCTGGCTTTTGATCAACCACCTGTGAAATTGAAGAATTCAATACTTTATCATAACTTAGCTAACAATTGGTTTATTATCCTTCCTTAAGTTCAATGACACAATATGAAAACCTGAGTCAAAATAACTCATTCTCAAAAGGAAGATTGTCCTCAATTGCCAAAGAAGCTCAACATATTCACAATCAAACAATGATCTAATATTAACGGTCTGCAATAATGACTGTATGACTTACATACTTCAGAAGAGCCTTTTTACAAGCAACACATTGCATTTTCAAAAATAGAACAAAGTATTTGTCAAAAAGTTTAACATTTATATTTTTTTCCCCCCACACTGATGAAACAAGTTTCCTTTTTCTCCAGCTTATACAAGGACACTTATGGTCAGTTTATGGATAGGGGGTTACTGTAAGTGGTTAAACGGTCCCCAAAATTGGTTGCTTTTTCACAACGATAAATATTTTCAGTTCCCTCTGTAGGAGGAGCTTTTGGGGTCTAAAAATTATAGTATAGGTATAGTATACAGAGTATACAAAACATTAGGAATACCTGCTCTTTCCATGACATAGACTGACCAGGTGAATCCAGGTGAACGCTATGATCCCTTATTGATGTCACCTGTTACATCCACTTCAACTGTAGGAAGCACTGGAGTCAACATGGGCCAGCATCCCTGTGGAACGCTTGAAACCTTGTAGTCTATGCCCTGATGAATTGAGGCTGTTGAGGGAAAAAGCAGCTGCAACTCAATATTAGGAAGGTGTTCCTAATGTTTTGTACACTCAGTGTCTCTCTAAGGCTGTGTTTACACAGGCAGCCCAATTCTGATCTTTTATGGGCAAAAGAGCTGATCTGATTGGGCAAAAGACCAATTAGTAGAAAAATAGGAGTTGGGATGCCTGTGTAAACACAGCCTTAGATAAAGTCATGGAGAAATACACATGCGACTATACACTGTGCTTTTGAAAGTGCTTTCTTTCACTGGTGTACAGTAGGTCTCATTGAACACTAAACCCATACAAATCAGATGATAATTTAACCCAAAATGTAAATATTTTTTTAACCATCTCATGATTGATTAATTTACATGTCAACATTTCAGCTATATGCCACATGGATAATGAATAATCAATTGTTGATTAATTTAGGGGGATGATACTCCAGGTATTCTTCAAACTGACAGTCCAGTCCACTCTACAATACTGTAACTACTATTTCATGTAAGGATGGGTGGACTTCAATTACTGCAGGCCAAATCATAGCTGTGGTCCAGGGCTAATCAAATCACTACGGAGAGATGTTTAAAAAATGGGTTGCAAAAAGCTATGGTTTCACAGAACATGAAGTAGGTGTGCATTGACAAACATTAAATTGCATTGAAAATCTAATGAAAAGAAAGAGTACTACTCATGTAGCTATACCACCAGGTTGTCCAGAATAGAAAATACACAACTTACTTATAGCAGAGAGACCAACATTCTATACATTCTACTGAGGGAATGTTTACAGAGTAAAGTTTCATAGCTGTTGAATCCAGAACGAGGGTATTGTAACACTTAACATGAAATCTCTTAATCTATTGTAGAAATGTTACAAGTGAGAGGAGCTACCATTTGATGTAAAACTATGTTGACATAAGATAGTTAACATGGTAGCTATCAAATCGAAACAATTTAACTTTAAAGACACATGAACAATAAAGCACAAAGCAGAGACATCGTGCAAGACAAAAATGACTAAGGCGATATAAAAAGGAAAATAATTTCATTTTGTCAAGGTACATTTCAAATGTGGCTGTTGTGTTTCTCTTCACATGCAACAATTATCATTATGTTACAACAAATACCATGGAAACCCTTTTCTGTAACCTCTGCCTAACTATGCACAAGTATTCAGAAAGTTATGCAGTGTAATATAGTAATATCTATAAATAGACAATTTATTTAATTAAAATGTAATTGTGCAAGTTAAAGCTTGATGTTCAGAACTTTATGGGGCACTAAAAGCCATCCTAACAATATGACTAAGGTGAAAGCATACAGAAACCCCTAATAATAAATGACTGGTATATTGCAAAAAATGTTCGATTTCAAATATCTGTGCCAGAAAGGTAGGAAATCGGAAGCGATGCCAGTGGCCAGTCTTTGCTGAAATACCAAGAGGGCTAAAATGTGTGAAAGGGAAGTGCTTATAAAAGAGGGGAAAGTTGCACTTTCATTTAAAAATAAATAAAGTAACCAATAACCTCGAATTGTTAGTTTGTTTCAAAAAGTGCAGATGGAGCTACAGTAGTTTATGGACTTGACAGACCAATAATTACTATGAACCATACGGGGGTGGCTGGAAATATTTTAAAAAGCACAGAACTAATGAAATATATTTTCCAGGACAGGAGCCTAAATAAAATGGAACAATCGCTTGAATCTCTTACAGCTACATGTGCTAATGTAAAGTAGTGCTGAATGGGCAATTCTCTTACAATGACTGACATACAGTGCCTTGCAAAAGTACTCATCCCCCTTGGCGTTTTTCCTATTTTGTTGCATTACAACCTGTAATTTTTAATGGATTTTTATTTGGATTTCATGTAAACGGACATACACAAAATAGTCCAAATTGGTGAAGTGAAATTAAAAAAATAACTTGTTAAAAAAATTCTAAAAAATAAATAACGGAAGTGGTGCGTGCTTATGTAGTCACCCCCTTTGCTATGAAGCCCCTAAATAAGATCTGGTGCAACCAATTACCTTCAGAAGTCACATAATTAGTTAAAGTCCACCTGCGTGCAATCTAAGTGTCACATGATCTGTCACATGATCTCAGTATATATACTGAGATCCAGAGCGCCAAGTCTAGGTCCAAAAGGCTTCTCAACAGCTTCTACCCCCAAGCCATAAGACTCCTGAACAGCTAATCATTGCTACCCGGACTATTTGCACTGACTCCCCACACCCACCTTTTACGCTGCTGCTCCTGTCTATTATTTATGCATAGTCACTAACTCTACCCACATGTACAGTGGGGAGAACAAGTATTTGATACACTGCCGATTTTGCAGGTTTTCCTACTTACAAAGCATGTAGAGGTCTGTAATTTTGATCATAGGTACACTTCAACTGTGAGAGACTTCATCTAAAATCACGGTTGACAACTCCGTTGTGTCCTCCTCCCAGAGTGCGAAGAGCCTTGGCGTGACCCTGGACAACACCCTGTCGTTCTCCGCTAACATCAAGGCGGTGACCCGATCCTGCAGGTTCATGCTCTACAACATTCGGAGAGTACGACCCTGCCTTACACAGGAAGCGGCACAGGTCCTAATCCAGGCACTTGTCATCTCCCGTCTGGATTACTGCAACTCGCTGTTGGCTGGGCTCCCTGCCTGTGCCATTAAACCCCTACAACTCATCCAGAATGCCGCAGCCCGTCTGGTGTTCAACCTTCCCAAGTTCTCTCACGTCACCCCCCTCCTCCGCACACTCCACTGGCTTCCAGTTGAAGCTTGCATCCGTTACAAGACCATGGTGCTTGCCTATGGAGCAGTGAGGGGAACGGCACCTCCGTACCTTCAGGCTCTGATCAGTCCCTACACCCAAACGAGGGCATTGCGTTCATCCACCTCTGGCCTGCTGGCTCCCCTTCCTCTGCGGAAGCAGAGTTCCCGCTCAGCCCAGTCAAAACTGTTCGCTGCTCTGGCACCCCAATGGTGGAACAAGCTCCCTCACGACGCCAGGACAGCGGAGTCACTCACCACCTTCCGGATACATTTGAAACCCCACCTCTTTAAGGAATACCTGGGATAGGATGAAGTAATCCTTCTACCCCCCCCCAGCCACGACCCATCTTCAATGCTCTTACTGAGGGAAGGAGGTTGTTGGCCAAGATCTTGCGATACATGGCCCCATCCATCCTCCCCTCAATACGGTGCAGTCGTCCTGTCCCCTTTGCAGAAAAGCATCCCCAAAGAATGATGTTTCAACCTCCATGCTTCACGGTTGGGATGGTGTTCTTGGGGTTGTACTCATCCTTCTTTTTCCTCCAAACACGGCGAGTGGAGTTTAGACCAAAAACCTATATTTTTGTCTCATCAGACCACATGACCTTCTCCCATTCCTCCTCTGGATCATCCAGATGGCCATTGGCAAACTTCAGACGGGCCTGGACATGCGCTGGCTTGAGCAGGGGGACCTTGCGTGCGCTGCAGGATTTTAATCCATGACGGCGTAGTGTGTTACTAATGGTTTTCTTTGAGACTGTGGTCCCAGCTCTCTTCAGGTCTTTGACCAGGTCCTGCCGTGTAGTTCTGGGCTGATCCCTCACCTTCCTCATGATCATTGATGCCCCATGAGGTGAGATCTTGCATGGAGCCCCAGACCAAGGGTGATTGACCGTCAACTTGAACTTCTTCAATTTTCTAATAATTGCGCCAACAGTTGTTGCCTTCTCACCAAGCTGCTTGCCTATGGTCCTGTAGCCCATCCCAGCCTTGTGCAGGTCTACAATTTTATCCCTGATGTCCTTACACAGCTCTCTGGTCTTGGCCATTGTGGAGAGGTTGGAGTCTGTTTGATTGAGTGTGTGGACAGGTGTCTTTTATACAGATAACAAGTTCAAACAGGTGCAGTTAATACAGGTAATGAGTGGAGAACAGGAGGGCTTCTTAAAAAAGAAGAAACAGGTCTGTGAGAGCCGGAATTCTTACTGGTTGGTAGGTGATCAAATACTTATGTCATGCAATAAAATGCAAATTAATTACTTAAAAATCATACAATGTGATTTTCTGGATTTTTGTTTTAGATTCCGTCTCTCACAGTTGAAGTGTACCTATGATAAAAATTACAGACCTCTACATGCTTTGTAAGTAGGAAAACCTGCAAAATCGGCAGCGTATCAAATACTTGTTCTCCCCACTGTACATATTACCTCAATTACCTTGACTAGCCAGTGCCCCAGCACATTGACTCTGCACCGGTACACCCCTGTATATAGCCTCCCTACTGTTATTTTATTTTACTGCTGCTCTTTAGTTATTTGCTTTTATTTTTTTTATATATATTCTTTAAAAAATGCATTGTTGGTTAAGGGCTTGTAAGTAAGCATTTCACTGTAATGCCTACACCTGTTGTATTCGGCGCATGTGGCAAATAAAATGTGATTTGATATACACACACCTGTTCTGAAAGGCCCCAGAGTCTGCAACACCACTAAGCAAGGGGCACCACCAAGCAAGCAGCACCATGAAGACCAATGAGCTCTCCAAACAGGTCAGGGACAAAGTTGTGGAGAAGTACAGATTAGGGTTCGGTTATGAAAAAATATCAGAAACTTTGAACATCCCACGGAGCACCATTAAATCCATTATTAAAAAATTGAAAGAATATGGCCACACAACAAACCTGCCAAGAGAAGGCCACCCACCAAAACTCACAGACCAGGCAAGGAGGGCATTAATCAGAGGCAACAATGAGACCAAAGATAACCCTGAAGGAGCTGCAAAGCTCCACAGCGCAGATTGGAGTATCTGTCCATAGGACCACTTTAAGCCGTACACTCCACAGAGCAGGGCTTTACGGAAGAGTGGCCAGAAAAAAACCATTGCTTATAGAAAACAATAAGCAAACACGTTTGGTGTTTGCCAAAAGGCATGTGGGAGACTCCCCAAACATATGGAAGAAGGTACTCTGGTCAGATGAGAAAGAAAATGGAGCTTTTTGGCCATCAAGGAAAACGCTATGTCTGGCACAAACCCAACACCTCTCATCACCCAGAGAACACCATGTTTTTCCATTGGCAGGGACTGGAAAACTGGTCAGAATTGAAGGAATGATGGATGGCGCTAAATACAGGGAAATTCTTGAGGGAAACCAGTTTCAGTCTTCCAGAGATTTGAGACTGGGACAGAGGTTCACCTTCCAGCAGGACAATGACCCTAAGCATACTGCTAAACCAACACTCAAGTGGTTTAAGGGGAAACATTTAAATGTCTTGGAATGGCCTAGTCAAAGCCCAGACCTCAATCCAATTGAGAATCTGTGGTATGACTTAAAGATTGCTGTACACCAGCGGAACCCATCCAACTTGAAGGAGCTGGAGCAGTTTTGCCTTGAAGAATGGGCAAAAATCCCAGTGGCTAGATGTGCCAAGCTTATAGAGACATACCCCAAGAGACTTGCAGCTGTAATTGCTGCAATAGGTGGCTCTACAAAGTATTGACTTTGGAGGGGGGTGAATAGCTATGCACGCTGAAGTTCTGTTTTTTTGTCTTATTTCTTGTTTGTTTCACTATAAAAAATATTTTGCATCTTCAAAGTGGTAGGCATGTTGTGTAAATCAAATGATACAAACCCCCACAAAAAATCAATTTTAATTCCAGGTTGTAAGGCAACAAAATAGGAAAAATGCCAAGGGGGGTGAATACTTTCGCAAGTATTCTCCCATAATGAAGTGTGTGCAAAACGTTTATTTTATATAAATTCAATGACTGATTTCCCATTCTACTCATTTTATTTTGTCCTGTGGTCTTAACCTGGTACTGGGAAACCGGCCCGAAGAGTACCAACCCTTCTAGACTTTCAAGTCTTCTATGACTGTTTAGATTAATACATAAGCAATGAACCATGATTTGTTTCCTGATAAGCGCATGCATCAAATATGTATAACATTTTTATGACCAATAACAAAGCATTTAGGTTTTCATTTGAACCATAATCTAAACTCTAAAAAGATCTAAATGAGATTATCACCACATGACCTCACTTAAGGTCCATTGTGCAAACATAATTGTATATTCAGACAAATCAAATGTTTAGAATCTTTAGATTTGTCTTGGCCATTATAACAACCTATTTCTAGCAGGTTCTGTTGATTGATGATGAATGATATACTTGATTCCACACCATCAACCATACATTTCTTTCAGGGGAGAGCTTTGAATAACGTGACTTCAAATTAAGATTGATCAAATCAAAATCATATATTTCAGGCTATACACCATGAGGATACCCACTCTTACCATGGTGTCAACTTGAAAATAGGAGTCTAGCAAGCAACTATACATTATCAACAAGTGGACAACGCTGCATTCAGCAGTTATATAGCAGGACTTAAAAAGAATCACAGAACTGTTATGCCGACATGTCACATGGTAACAGGGTCCCTTCTTAGGGTCTCAGATCTAGGACCAGACCCCCCTGTCCATACAGTCTTATTCATTATGATCAAAAAGGCAAAACTGACCCTAGATCAGCACCATTACCACAGGTAGAACAATGAGCCTGATATTTCACCAGGTGTATAAATAAATGTGAAGCATCCGGTTGCAGTTTCCATTCACTACGGTGATGTAAGGAAGCCCATGGCCGGAAGTGGGAAAAGATGGAGCGAGAAGGATTTTGGCAGACATTCTGCTCATTTCGTCATTGATGAAACAATGCATACAGAATCTGTAACAAACAGAGTAGACTACGTTTTGTAGACTTCACCCTTTGCCAAAGTATTTTTTAATTGGCGTTGTTTAGGAGTGCAAGGGCGAATTCAGTTATTGCACACGCGTACTTCAGAGTAGGTGTTCCCTAACGGAAATATGCAAATAAATGACATGCCAATAGGATCTCACTAGCTTGTGCTTGGCTCTGCCCACCTCCTTGCTTGTTCTGCACCCATTGGAAACTACAGGCTCTGGTCTATCTTGGGTTAGTTATACAAATCTTTGCTATTACTCTGAGACACTTTATAAATACAGGCACAGATACCTGGTTAGAGTTAAAGCAAGAAAAAGGTGGAAGAAACATGATTGAAGTCAAGCAGAAAAACGAAATTAGAGACAAAAACAATAATGATTGACTATGCAATCAAATCCATTTCACTACACCTTTGTGGCTTACATTTCTTAATATAGCCTACATTCTAATAAACCCCATTAGTGTTTTTTCTAGAGCCTGAACGATATATCGGTTCACCTACATTATCGGCCGATATTGTCCTTTTACCGATATATCGTATCAGCCGATAATTCCACCGATAACCGATATTCAAATAAATAGGTTGAAAAAAGCACATCTCATGCTGATCTGAACACTTGCGGCCATTCTCATGATGTGTCAGTCACAATGTATGAAATCAACATTTGAAGCATAGTTATTGGACAATTGCCTTTTTGGATGGCAATTTGAGAATTCAGTCTGGAAAAATTATACTTTTTAATTTCCCCGCAGTAAAACAGTATATATCGGCAGATATATCAAGAAGTTTTGTACACCGAAAAAAATCTGAACCAGACCCCAAAAAACATAGGTCGGGCTGTAGTTTTTCCCCCGACAACCCAATTAAATGTTTTGCTTCATATACATATTTTTCTATTTTCACGATTCCCAAAATTGACCACTTTAACCTAACAGAAAATTATATATTTTTTAATCACTAAATGCTTTGAGCAACACCCACCTTTGCAGTGTAACATATTTTGGCAGGACAGAGGATATGGGTATAAAGTGCCTTTCAAAATTATCGCATAATAATATAACTATTATCCTCAACCAAACGTTTGACTGCTTGTAGCATCAGGGGAAGAGTTCAATTGAGACCTCGTCTCAAGAGGGTATTCAGAGAAGTCTGTTCCGTGACTTCGCAGACTGACTTGTCCATTGGCAATAGTAAATTGGGAGGTGATTCCAGAACGTGAGGTCTGGAACTGCGACGGGAAGTTCTGATCGAAGGTGCTGATTTGATAAGTCTGATGCAACCCTTGAGCATCAGTCTTTTTCGAGGACGCAACTCCCTCCAGAAAGTCTTCGGTTGGCGACACGGCCGAGGTAGTGGTTTCATCCCCCGAAAATGAGAAGGAGTGCTGGGAGTCCCCTACAAGGAGTCCAAAATGTGGTTTCTCCAAGTTAGACCTTAGTGGAGAGTTCATCCCTGACCTACCAGTACCAATGGTAAACCTGCTGGGGGAAGGGTACTGCTTCTCTGTGGAGAACAGAGGCTGGTTGGAAAGGCTGGGGCTCTCGGTGACAAAGGTAAGACTCTGGCTGCTCAGGTAGCTATCGTTCTGGCTAGTCCTCTCCAGAGCTTGCTGGAGGAACTTGGAGTACTCGTGCAGGAGGCTAGACTTCTCTGCTGGTGGGGCTTGAGAGTTACCTCCCAAGCTTTCTACCGGGCTGCCCTCAGACACATCAGAGGAGTTAATGGAGATTCTGGAGGTCACCTCAGTGTCAGCCACACTGAAGGAGATATCTGGCTGCCCATTGGCCTTGTTTGAGTAGTGGTCCAGGAGAGTCTGGAGAACCTCATCCGGGAGCACGTTCTTGTCGTGGTTGGACTTGAGCTCGACGCTCAACGGCTGTGGTTCCAAGATGGTGGCGGGAACGGTTTCGTCTATGACGCTGGCCACTGCGGCTTGTGTAGCGGAAGGCTGGGACGCTATGCTGCTTACATTAACGGCGTAATCGCGGTTGTCGTTGTTGGCCACAGCTACCTGCTGGAGATACCTCTTCTTCTTCAAGAACTGAACGGCATCGTCGTAGTTTGTGCTGCTGGATGCTGGTTTCGTCTGCCCTCTTGGGAGAGCATCTACTGGCTCCAGGTCAGAGTTGGCCACATCCACGTCCAGAAGATCTTGTTTGTCAACGATCTCGAACGTGTACCTGGTGACTTTGCAGTCTTCGAAAGAGGACAAAGGGGACAAACTCTCAGGTGGTTCAAGTTCAGTTGGTTGCTTCAGACTCCTCTTGGGGACCTTCTTGAGGACCAGCTTGGGAGGATGAATCTCCTCAGAGGAGAGATTCTCCCCACCCAGCCCCAACTGCCGCCCGCCAGATAAGTCAGGAAGCTCCACAGAATAATCTGCCACCACATACTCGTCTTTGACCACCTTGGAGGAAACCACATAGAGAGGTAGACATTCGATTTTGCTCGGTCTTTGCTCCACCTTATCCATGTCGCCAAGAGAAGCGACTGTGGCAACGTCTTCAGTGGCAGCAGCTGAGAGAGCGCACTGAGGCTTGTCTGAGGTCTTCAGGCGTTTCTTCTTGGGCAGTGAGCACTCTTTGGTAGGGAAGGAGAAGCCCAGAGATTCTGTGTTGCGCAGGAGTCCTCCATCTTTCCCCGCTGCTGCTGTCTTGTGGGCTTTCCTCTCACGGCACATACGCCTGTGCTTTAGAACCCGGTCTGTTCTGGAAAAGTACTGTTGGAAACAAGCCGAATGGGTTTGTGGCATACAAGGACAGTAGTAGAAAAGATGTTTTAAAAAATAACTTCTGCATGCTATATAAACCATAATTTTTCAAATAGAAGGCTAGTGATGTAGCCTGTACCCAGACCTGTTTGTGCAGTCTTGCCAAGACCAACTCCATTGTCTGTCATTTGCTTTGATAACATAAATAACCAACCTGGTGGCAGCAGTCACATTGATAGGGCTTCTCTCCACTGTGGGTCCTTCTGTGCCTCTCCATGTGGTATTTCTGAATGAACCTCATGCCACATTCCTCACAGCGGAAGGGCTTCTCACCTGACAAAGTCAAAGGGACAGGTCATTCTGTGGGCTAGTAACATCAACATTCAACAGGTGAGATCTTTGACCAATCATTGGCTACCATAGTTCAATCATAGCTTCATGAGGCATTATCTTACCAGTGTGGATCTTCTCATGTCTCTGGAGAAGATACTTCTGTATGAAGCGCATATCACACTGGCTGCACTGAAATGGCTTCTCACCTGAAACCAAGCAATAGTAAGTTTGACCATATTTTCTTGCGTATATTCAATGGGAAATTGTGTTAGCCTACTTATTACGCAAGACAATGTAACTAACAATCATTGTTGTGTTCATTTAATGCTAATCAAAAGACTTGACGGTCATAAAATACATTATACCAGTGTGGATGAAGACGTGTCTTTGTAGATGGTAGTTCGTTCGGAAGGCTGCATTGCAGTGCCCACACACATGACACTTTGGCCTCTGGAGACCCAATGATCCATCCTCATTGATGGTGAGAATCTAACCAAAGTAGAGTGATACATGGAAAGACAAGAACAAAAGGTCTGTCAATTATTTCGCAATTTATCTGTACAACTAAAGCACGGCATTTACCCAGAAAAAAAAATGTGGTTTTCATCTAGGTAGTTTTCAGGTGACAATATAGATCTTTAATCTGGACATAACATGTGATTATGACCTAGTGTCAAGCAAATACACTGCTCAAATTTGGAGTCACCTTCAAAATTAAAGTGGAAAACCACACTACAGGCTGATCCAACTTTGATGTAATGTCCTTAAAACAAGTCAAAATGAGGCTCAGTAGTATGTGTGGCCTCCACGTGCCTGTATGACCTCCCTACAACGCCTGGGCATGCTCCTGATGAGGTGGCGGATGGTCTCCTGAGGGATCTCCTCCCAGACCTGGACTAAAGCATCCGCCAACTCCTGGACAGTCTGTGGTGCAACGTGGCGTTGGTGGATGGAGCGAGACATGATGTCCCAGATGTGCTCAATTGGATTCAGGTCTGGGGAACGGGCGGGCCAGTCCATAGCATCAATCCCTTCCTCTTGCAGGAACTGCTGACACACTCCAGCCACATGAGGTCTAGCATTATCTTGCATTAGGAGGAACCCAGGGCCAACCGCACCAGCATATGGTCTCACAAGGGGTCTGAGGATCTCATCTCTGTACCTAATGGCAGTCAGGCTACCTCTGGCGAGCACATGGAGGGCTGTGCGGCCCCCCAAAGAAATGCCACCCCACACCATGACTGACCCACCGCCAAACCGGTCATGCTGGAGGATGTTGCAGGCAGCAGAACGTTCTCCACGGCGTCTCCAGACTTTGTCACGTCTGTCACATGTGCTCAGTGTGAACCTGCTTTCATCTGTGAAGAGCACAGGGCGCCAGTGGCGAATTTGCCAATCTTGGTGTTCTCTGGCAAATGCCAAACGTCCTGCACGGTGTTGGGCTGTAAGCACAACCCCCACCTGTGGACGTCGGGCCCTCATACCACCCTCATGGAGTCTGTTTCTGACCGTTTGAGCAGACACATGCACATTTGTGGCCTGCTGGAGGTCATTTTGCAGGGCTCTGGCAGTGCTCCTCCCGCTCCTCCTTGCACAAAGGCGGAGGTAGCGGTCCTGCTGCTGGGTTGTTGCCCTCCTACGGCCTCCTCCACGTCTCCTGATGTACTGGCCTGTCTCCTGGTAGCGCCTCCATGCTCTGGACACTACGCTGACAGACACAGCAAACCTTCTTGCCACAGCTCGCATTGATGTGCCATCCTGGATGAGCTGCACTACCTGAGCCACTTGTGTGGGTTGTAGACTCCGTCTCATAATACCACTAGAGTGAAAGCACCGCCAGCATTCAAAAGTGACCAAAACATCAGCCAGGAAGCATAGGAACTGAGAAGTGGTCTGTGGTCACCACCTGCAAAACCACATCTTTATTGGGGGTGTCTTGCTAATTGCCTATAATTTCCACCTGTTGTCTATTCCATTTGCACAACAGCATGTGAAATGTATTGTCAATCAGTGTTGCTTCCTAAGTGGACAGTTTGATTTCACAGAAGTGTGATTGACTTGGAGTTACATTGTGTTGTTTAAGTGTTCCCTTTATTTTTTTGAGCAGTGTATATAACCAGAGTTAAAATATATTAATTTGAACCTTGGCAGGAGAGCGTTGTTTTCGTTTCTTCTTGTGACACTCTGATGTGAGGTCCCTGGGCTGTTTTCTCTCTTTCTTCCCCAGCATCAGTGGATCCGAAGACAGCTTCAACTCTTGTTTGATGCTCACCTGCAAAACATAGTTTAATCACTTCACATGAATTAATTTCACTGATTATAGTCAGAATGACAAAGCTCTCAATGGGTGAATCCCAAGTCTTCAAAGAGGAGGCAGAGAGAGGACAGAACAAAGACTTGAGATTCACCCATTGTCATGGTTTACACTACAGCGCATGTATCGGAAGAAGACTGGCAATAAGAATGTATGCATGATATGGACTCACAGGCATGTGGAGCGTGCATGGCAGCTTGTGTGAGAGTCTCTGCATCATTCCCTCTTCCCGGTCATTCTTCACAGTCTCCTCATGTACCATCAGTTCATCAGTTGCGATCAGGTCATGAGACACTATTGAAACCTCTGTCAGGTCATCATCCTCTTCATCATCATCATCTGCTAACAGGGGGTGGTGGGCTAACCCCCTCTCGCCCAGTGTCATGACGACCAGACTCCCACCCCCTATCCCCACCCTCTCATCCACTCCCCCACCACACTTTAGCAGCATCCCCTCCAGCTTGTCATCAATGTTCATCTTTACTAGAGACCTAGCTAGCTAGGTGTCTGTGGGGTCAAGAGAGGGCAGAAGTATTTGCTAGTTAAAGACAAACAAAACACCACTATTTAGCTTTGGTAGCAATAGGCTAACGTTAATAATCACTACAAATGCTAGCTAGCTACATTTTAGTGGGGCCATCATTGAGTAATCTGAGGTTAGGGTGATAACGTAGTTCGCTACCTAAAGATGATCAACCAACCAAATAACGTTAGCCAACACAAACCCGTTTACTCAAAATAGCACATTTACCTGCCCAAAATTAACGTTAGCACTAAAACTAGGCTATTTGACCATACTGTAGCTAGCTAATGTTAAACTTTCATCATCTGTCGCTATACAGTGGTCAACTAACTAGATTAACTAACTACCTAGTTAGGTAACTAGGTGTTATTATTGGTAACTTTAGTTACCTAGACAACTTTCGCTAGTTAGCTAAACAAGTAACACAACTACGTTAGCTAGCTAGATAACTACCGGCACAGTGTGGACAAACGTAAGCTAGCTAACGTAGTTAGCAGTAGATAATTAGCTAGCTAGCTAACTTGGCTAGCTGTGAATGGCAAACGTTTACAAGCTAGCTAGCTAGGCCTGATCAGAACCAACAACAACCAGAACTAACAGATAGGTAGCAAGACCTCAAGTCAAATCGAGACGTCGCTTACGTTAGCTAAAAGGCACTGCAGACCAAACTGTTCACAACTAACGTAACGTTAGCTATTAGCATTAGTTAGCTAGCCTAGCTAACTTACGTAACGTTAGCCTGCTTACCTACTTTAGAGTCTAATAAGATCGTTTATCTGCGAAAAGTGTATCCGCTGTGTGATATACGCCGCGACAGAAAGAAACATCACCGCATCTGGCCCAACTGCAGTGCATGGGGAATGTACGGTAGTTGTTTGGCGTTGTGATAGCTCTGCCGCTCACCTGTAGTGAAGCACTGCTGTGTGTGTTCTGCTCTGCATCTCTACTGCGCTCACTCTGGACTAGAATATGATGACAGAAGAAAATCGAGACTAGGCTACTAGCTACTTGTTTACCAAACACGAAGTTTAATGCGTTCAAGAAACACTCTTAAAAATAAGAAATGCTGTCGTATTAAACGTCCTCCTTAACAAAAAATTTTAACATTTAAATTAACTAGCTAGTTATGCCAATGAATTAATGTAGATACAGTGCATTCGGTAAGTATTCAGACCCCTAGACTTTTTCCACATTTTGTTACATTACAGCCTTATTCTAAAATTGATTAAATTCATTTTTTCCCTCAAATCAACACACAATACCCCAATGACAAAGCGAGAACAAGTTTTTAGAAATGTTTGCAAATGTATTAAAATAAATACCTTATTTACATAACTATTCAGACCCTTTGCTATGAGACTCGAAATTGAGCTCAGGTGCATCCTGTTTCCATTTATCATCCTTGAGCTGTATCCACAACTTGATTGGAGTCCACCTGTGGTAATTCCAATTGATTGGACATTATTTGGAAAGGCACACACCTGTTTATATAAGGTTCAACAGTTGACAGTGCATGTCAGAGCAAAAACCAAGCCATAAGGTCGAAGGAATTGTCCGTAGAGCTCCGAGACAGGATTGTGTCGAGGCACAGATCTGGGGAAGGATACCAACACATTTCTGCAGCATTGAAGGTCCCCGACAACACAGCGGCCTACATCATTCTTAAATGGAAGAAGTTTGGAACAACCAAGACTCTTCCTAGAACTGGCCTCCCAGCCAAACTGAGCAACCGGGGGAGAATGGTCTTGGTCAGGGAGGTGACCAAGAACCTGATGGTCATTCTGACAGTGCTCAGTAAAAGGCACATGACAGCCCGCTTGGAGTTTGCCAAAAGGCACCTAAAGGACTCTCAGACCATGAGAAACAAAATTCTCTGGTCTGATGAAACCAAGATGGAACACTTTGGTCTGAATGCCAAGTGTCACGTCTGGAGGAAACCTGGCACCATCCCTACGGTGAAGCATGGTGGTGGCAGCATCATGCTGTGGGGATGTTTTTCAGCGGCAAGGACTGGGAGACTAGTCAGGATCGAGGGAAAGATGAACGGAGCAAAGTACATTGCAGTAGCTTGTTGTCATTGCAGGCAAACTCAACGCTGTACGTTACAGGGAAGACATCCTCCTCCCTCATGTGGTACCCTTCCTGCAGGCTCATCCTGACATGACCCTCCAGCATGACAATGCCACCAGCCATACTGCTCGTTCTGTGCGTGATTTCCTGCAAGACAGGAATGTCAGTGTCCTGCCATGGCCAGCGAAGAGCCCGGATCTCAATCCCATTGAGCACGTCTGGGACCTGTTGGATCGGAGGGTGAGGGCTAGGGCCATTTCCCCCAGAAATGTCTGGGAACTTGCAGGTGCCTTGGTGGAAGAGTGGGGTAACATCTCACAGCAAGAACTGGCAAATCTGGTGCAGTCCATGAGGAGGAGATGCACTTAATGCACTTAATCCAGCTGGCGGCCACACCAGATACTGTTACTTTTGATTTTGACCCCCCTTTGTTCAGAGACACATTATTCAATTTCTGTTGGTCACGTCTGTGGAACTTGTTCAGTTTATGTCTCAGTTCTCGAATCTTGTTATGTTCATACAAATACACTGCTCAAAAAAATAAAGGGAACACTAAAATAACACATCCTAGATCTGAATGAATGAAATAATCTTATTAAATAATTTTTTCTTTACATAGTTGAATGTGCTGACAACAAAATCACACAAAAATTATCAATGGAAATCAAATTTATCAACCCATGGAGGTCTGGATTTGGAGTCACCCTCAAAATTAAAGTGGAAAACCACACTACAGGCTGATCCAACTTTGATGTAATGTCCTTAAAACAAGTCAAAATGAGGCTCAGTAGTGTGTGTGGCCTCCACGTGCCTGTATGACCTCCCTACAACGCCTGGGCATGCTCCTGATGAGGTGGAGGATGGTCTCATGGGGGATCTCCTCCCAGACCTGGACTAAAGCATCTGGAGCGAGACATGATGTCCCAGATGTGCTCAATTGGATTCAGGTCTGGGGAACGGGCGGGCCAGTCCATAGCATCAATCCCTTCCTCTTGCAGGAACTGCTGACACACTACAGCCACATGAGGTCTAGCATTGTCTTTCATTAGGAGGAACCCAGGACCAACCGCACCAGCATATGGTCTCACAAGGGGTCTGAGGATCTCATCTCGGTACCTAATGGCAGTCAGGCTACCTTTGGCGAGCACATGGAGGGCTGTGCGGCCCCCCAAAGAAATGCCATCCCACACCATGACTGACCCACCGCCAAACCAGTCATGCTGGAGGATGTTGCAGGCAGCAGAACGTTCTCCACGGCGTCTCCAGACTCTGTCATGTGCTCAGTGTGAACCTGCTTTCATCTGTGAAGAGCACAGGGCGCCAGTGGCGAATTTGCCAATCCTGGTGTTCTCTGGCAAATGCCAAACGTCCTGCATGGTGTTGGGCTGTAAGCACAACCCCCACCTGTGGACGTCGGGCCCTCATACCACCCTCATGGAGTCTGTTTCTGACCGTTTGAGCAGACACATGCACATTTGTGGCCTGCTGGAGGTCATTTTGCAGGGCTCTGGCAGTGCTCCTCCCGCTCCTCCTTGCACAAAGGCGGAGGTAGCGGTCCTGCTGCTGGGTTGTTGCCCTCCTACGGCCTCCTCCACGTCTCCTGGTAGCGCCTCCATGCTCTGGACACTACGCTGACAGACACAGCAAACCTTCTTGCCACAGCTCGCATTGATGTGCCATCCTGGATGAGCTGCACTACCTGAGCCACTTGTGTGGGTTGTAGACTCCGTCTCATGCTACCACTAGAGTGAAAGCACCGCCAGCATTCAAAAGTGACCAAAACATCAGCCAGGAAGCATAGGAACTGAGAAGTGGTCTGTGGTCACCACCTGCAAAACCAGTCCTTTATTGGGGGTGTCTTGCTAATTGCCTATAATTTCCACCTGTTGTCTATTCCATTTGCACAACAGCATGTGACATTTATTGTCAATCAGTGTTGCTTCCTAAGTGGACAGTTTGATTTCACAGAAGTGTGATTGACTTGGAGTTACATTGTGTTGTTTAAGTGTTCCCTTTATTTTTTTGAGCAGTGCATTTACACGTTAAGTTTGCTGAAAATGAACGCAGTTTCTTTTTTTTGCTGAGTTTACTTTAATTTGATTAGCGCTTGAGCACAACTATCATCCAAGTCACAATGCAAACAGGGGCCCCCCAAAACAATACTGCATTATGATGCAAAACAGATGGCAGCATTCACTGAGCATTCATTGCTTCGCTGATAAACTGATAAGGGAATGTAGTATGAGTAAACTTGTATCATTCAGCCTCCTTTCCTTACCCATAGAACCATATAGATATTACACATTCTCATATTTTACTCTCATTTGAATAAAACACCACAAACATGCAAAGCAACTACTCTGGTTGGCATTTGCTAAATCTGGGTTTCATATTTCACATATTCAGAATTGGTATGTAGTTGAATAATGATACCCCATAAAGTGAAGCACTCAGCTAAGCAACACCTGGTAGGAAAACTCAACCCTTCTGAATGTATTCACAAATACAGGTCTTTGAAGTTATTGTTGTTTAGTCTGATATCCTAACTGGTTTCTTTGGTGGACTGTTTAGTTTGTGGGAACTGTAGAAATGTTATTTTGTGTGGGTCATTGTTACGAACCCCGTGGCTTTAAACATCTAGGGTGGATGGACAAGAGACCCGTAACATAATTCATGTAAATTAGAATCGTGACATGGAACAGTGAGAACAAAAACTACACGACAACCATAAACTACCGTCAAACATAAAATGTTTATTTTTGAACACACGGTAAAGGTTTGGGAAAAAGGGCTGAGCAGGACCCAAGAAATGAAACAATAGTGTAAAAAAAACCTAAACTGATCTTGCCTGCCTCAAGAACCGCTAAGTTACTGCTAATCATACA